GTTTCTCGGGTGATGCCGAGTAGACAACATCCTCCCCCGTATCTCCATCTTTAGCTTGTTTACGAATGTCCTCCACGATGTATCTCCGTATTGTCAAAATATTGAAGCTGTGCAGAAAACAAATTTTTTTTAAAAAGTTTTGTCTAAATTTGTCCTTATGGTGGTGGCCAAGGAAAGTTACCAATAAAGAGAATTCAAAATGTTACGGTATAAAACAAAATTCAATGCTAGAATGAGCAAAAATATTTATTATTTGATTAACACATATGTACATGTATTAGAGAACATTACTTCCTTTACAAAGAAAAGCTTGGCAGTCAATATATTAGAAAAAATTAACTCTTATAACTCACAATTTATTTGCATCTAAAGCTAACTGGGCCTTCAATCTGCTCATATTAGCAGGGCCACTGAAAATCCCTCGCTGATTCAAAACTTGAAAAGAAATTAATATGTACAGATGTATAACAGTTTTTCACTTTAAATCTATGTCATTTCACAACATGAAAACTGCACATAAATATTATATACATATATTGTGAAAATATACTACATGTATTTAAATACTGTAGACATACTTTTTTCCACGGGGTCACGATTCCGAGGAATTTCAATTTCCGTTTAATCCGCGGGTTGAAAATTACGCGGATTTTTCAGACTGTTACTATATGCCTTACATTTATATTACCAGGTAAGTATGCTTGGACAAATTTCCGTGGAAAATCTGTGACCGCGTATATAGCGTAAATTAATACCACATGGAAAAAAAGTACTTCTACAGTACTCAGTACTGTACTTATTACAACCATATCTGTAATTTTTTTCAAACCTTGTGCTTTTTTGGTGTAGTGGTTGAATAATTCTTCACAGACAGTTACTATGTGCACAGCTATCCTTCTGTTTAGTTCTTTGTTTTGTTCTGGACTCTGAGTAAATCAAAATTGAAAGTATCATTTGTGTGTTTTTAAAATCTCTAAATTCTTCCAACAAAATCTGAATGAAACAAGCTTCAAGATGAAAGTAAAGTTTTGCAAGAACAAGTAAATATCCAAGCTTACCAGGAATGGGTCATCGATTTGTTTTCTGATTTCTGGCCATATCAAATTGATTTCACCCATCAAAATTCCAGCCTGGAATGAAAAATGCAAAAATCTTGGTATATCACTGGAAAATAGAAGGTCCATAGACCTTGACAATTGCTTGATCTTTGACCAACTTAGAGGACTAGAACTCTGGTCCCATCTGACTTGAATTTAATAGCTTCAATGATTGCTTTTCATTTTTTTAAGCTCATCCAAGGTAAAAAAAAAATTATGTCTAGGATTTCATTAGATTTCAAAGACTCAATGCTCTTTCAACATCATGTATTACCAAAACTGTTCCACCCAGAGATTCAGTCCCAGATAAAAGGGACATTAATAAGATGGTGAATAGTCCACTGCCGGCATGCAGACTGTTTAAAAACCAGAAGTCTCTGTCGAGACTGTAGCTCTACTGGTTTGTACTTATCAAAAACCATTGCACTATTTTATGTATCTTTGTGTAGTCTACTTGTGTGCCAACTTATTTTGAAATCAAACTAGAACTGTAGAAGGAGTAGCGTTTTTAAGGAATTTCACAGAAAATTCTATTTTTAGTAACCATGGTAACACCGTTCATCGAAATTAGAAACCGATGCAATATTCCATGTATCTTAGTGTAGTCTACTTGTGTGCAAAGTTACATTGAAATCAGACCAAAACTGTAGAAGGAGTAGCGTTTTTAAAGAATTTCACAGAAAATTCTATTTTTAGTAACCATGGCAACATTATTCATCGAAATTAAAAACTGATGCACTATTCTATGTATCTTAGTGTAGTTTACTTGTGTGCCAAGTTATATTGAAATCAGACCCAAACTGTAGAAGGAGTAGCGTTTTTAAGGAATTTCACAGAAAATTCTATTTATAGTAACCATGGCAACACCGTTCATCGAAATTAAAAACCGATGCACTATTCTATGTATCTGAGTGTAGTTTACCAGTGTGCCAAGTTATATTGAAATCAGACCCAAACTGTAGAAGGAATTTCACAGAAAATTCTATTTTTAGTAACCATGGCAACACCGTACATTGAAATCAAAAACCGATGCACTATTCTATGTATCTTAGTGTAGTCTACTTGTGTGCCAAGTTATTTTGAAATCAGACCAAAACTGTAGAAGGAGTAGCGTTTTTAAAGAATTTCACAGAAAATTCTATTTTTAGTAACCATGGCAACATCGTTCATCGAAATTAAAAACTGATGCACTATTCTATGTATCTTAGTGTAGTTTACTTGTGTGCCAAGTTATATTGAAATCAGACCAAAACTGTAGAAGGAGTAGCGTTTTTAAGGAATTTCACAGAAAATTCTATTTATAGTAACCATGGCAACACCGTTCATCGAAATTAAAAACCGATGCACTATTCTATGTATCTTAGTGTAGTCTACTTGTGTGCCAAGTTATTTTGAAATCAGACCAAAACTGTAGTATGAGTAGAGTATTAAATGTTTTTGTCTTAAATTTGTATTTTTAGTACCCATGGCAACACCGTTCATCGAAATCAAAAACCGATGCACTGTTCTATGTATCTTAGTGTAGTCTACTTGTGTGCCAAGTTATATTGAAATCAGACCAAAACTGTAGGAGGAGTAGCGTTTTAAAGGAATTTCACAGAAAATTCTATTTTTAGTAACCATGGCAACACCGTTCATCGAAATTAAAAACCGATGCACTATTCCATGTATCTTAGTGTAGTCTACTTGTGTGCCAAGTTATATTGAAATCAGACCAAAATTGTAGAAGGAGTAGCGTTTTAAAGGAATTTCACAGAAAATTCTATTTTTAGTAACCATGGCAACATCGTTCATTGAAATTAAAAACCGATGCACTATTCTATGTATCTTAGTGTAGTCTACTTGTGTGCCAAGTAATACTGAAATCAGACTAAAATTGTAGGAGGAGTAGCGTTTTGAAAAATTGTTTACAGACAGACGGACAGACAGACGGACAGACAGACAGACAGACAGACAGACGGACGGACGCCGGACGCATTACTATCGCATAAGCTCTTCTGGTCTCTGACCAGTAGAGCTAAAAAGAGAAGACTCACTAAATTCTGCTGATCATCAGTGGAAAGGTAAGGATCGTCAGGTCTGGCTTTTATCCTCCTTCTTACAAATTTGGCCAGTTGTTCTAAACTTGTGGGTTGTTGTCTGATTTCTTCCTGCGGTGAGAAAATCAAAAATTCTTTTAAAGTCAATGTTAAATTTGTCAAGCATTCAGCCACTAACACTTAAAATTCTCATATCCCAGCAAACATTATTTGCATTTTTATATACTTCTAGGTAATGTCATGATAAAGCTATAATTTATAGCATAGATCAAACACATTTATAATTTCTTTCCCGTACAAAACTTCCAACACTCAGTCTTATTAATATGCCCTAGTTAATACACGTAGCATACATTTATTGGAGTATTTGGTCTTTCAAGTTCAACTCTGGGTTTCCCTTCTGCATCTGAAAAATGAAATTTCAACATTATAGAAAAAAGTCATGTAGTACATTTGATCAGATTAATAACCGGTACTTTGTATGCACAAAAAAAATACAACTTACAGAAACTTTTGGTAAACCACATGATACAGTTTACTGATGACTGAATTTTGATATATTCTTCTTTTTTTTAAATGAACAATTAAATCTTAATTTATTTATGTCCTCTCACCTTCATCATCCCCATAAGCTGTGAACAGTGACAGAGGTTCTAATACACTTTTAATTTTCTTCTCTACATCACTCTGTAAAATCAAAATACCTCAGTAGATAAAATTTACAAAGTAAAAAAAGTAATTTGTAGTTATGATTTATTGAATTGTCATGATACCAATTTGTTCCTATGTATATTGAACTATATTCACATCCAACATGACTTTGGCTCTTGAAACTTACATGAGTGTATGCAGGCCACTTCAGAGGATACATATCCCCCTCCATTTGAACCTTGTCCTGCTCTGGAGGGGGTTCGGGAATGATGTCCTTGCCGGGGATGGGGTGCCGCTTGGGCAATCTAACCTGCACCTGGATGGGGTCGGCATGGTAACCCGTAAACTTCACTGCAGTGTTCTCAGATGTAGGCATGCTTAACCTGAAAAAATTGGACAAACATTATTCTTCATTTTTCTTTAATACTTGTTGATTACAATAAATTACTTTTTATTTGCAAGAACTTTATTTTCATTCAATTACTGGTATGTGTGAGAATGTCTTATATTTGTTTTATAACACAACAATTACCAAAAATTGTGAAAAAAATTGTCTCAGTAGATGTATACCAAACAATTCTCATGAGAAAAAGGTGACACATCTCTATAGTATGTACTTGTTAGAAGACTCATTTCATTTTCTATATTGTAGAAGATAGCCCAGAATTTAACTTTTCAGATTTTTAAACAGCATTCTATGTTTAAAAGTTCTGCTACATCTGAGCTCCTGGCCATGATAACACAAAATACCCAAGCTTTCAGACCAGCAAAGTCAAACTTACCCCAACTTTTTGAACCTAAATTTTGGCTTTTCATCACTATTTTTAAGAATTCCCTTTCTTTTAGAGCCTCCAATATAAGACATGATGGGAACAAATACAAATCCTAAGTTTAGAAAATTTAACTAAACATTTCACATAAAACAAATGCTCTGTTAGTCATAAATAAATACTTTGACATTTAAATGTAAATGAACTGGGATACATCAGTTAAAGTTCCTTCAAGGTACTGCCTCTAAGTAACCATGCACTACAACAATTAGTGGTTATTTAAATCATTGTTCTTTCTATTGTTTCAGTTTAGATGCATTATCTTTATTTTAAGCGTATAAAAACAGATACTGTGTGAAAAAATCTTTTACAAAGAGACTTAGGTTGGTATCAGTTAGGAAATACATTGTACTAGTAACATCTCTGTAAATTCTCAAGCCATTTTGTCTTTGTTTCTTCGTGAAATTCTGCATGGAATTCACTACAAATCTTGAAATGTTTAGGTATGTACCAATTACAAGTCTCAATTTTTAATTTCATTCGATAGGAAATACCTTTATTTCTTGGTTTTTAGGTATTAAGTTAAATACTTAGAATTGAATGAAATGTTTTCCCCTATTCTGGTCAATTGTCTTCTGTTTACAAACTGTACCCATACATGTGTCTCTGTGTATACTGATACAATGAAGCGCATTGAAGTGGTAAAATTTTCCATTTGGATGAAACGTTCTGAGTCATGTTTAAAACGTCAATTATAACATAACGACACGCCCATTTCTTTTAGAAAAGAGAAAGAAATATTCGTCGTTATGTTTTAGGACACCCCACTTTCCGCGACAAGCGACATGAGTTACACTGAAATGAAGATTTTTAAATAAGAAAGAGCTATATATAGAGTCCCCGCTTCTGTAAAACACACATTGAAACGAATTTGTGCATAATTATGATGTTATCATGCTTATTGGAGTTAGCATAACACATGTATCGGTCGAACACGTGCTTACTCGTTGTGTAAATAGACCGTCAATTTGATTCGCTACTATATTTATGGAATACCTGTTCTACAGGTATTCATTTGACCGATTTTTCCTTTCTGTAGTAGGAAAGGAGAAATGCACGAAGAAAAACATATGGCTGGACCAGGAATCGAACCCGGGACCCCTGTATTACTAGTCAGGTGCTCTAACCACTGAGCTATCCAGGCCGATATCCACGGTGTAAAGCCAAAAAGTAAAATAAAGGGTCATTCCTCCCTCCTTAAACAGTCTTCGACCTCGAAGACACAAGTTGTAGGGCCCTGCCAGGAATTTCACTCTCTTTACACATACACTGTAACCTGAACAAGGCCCCCCACACTGGCCACCAAATGTAGTAGGAAAGGAGAAATGCACGAAGAAAAACATATGGCTGAAAGGTATTACTTTTCAATCGTATACCCCTGTAAGGTTACAAAAAAGTCAGGTGATCTTACCACTGAGCTATCCAGGCCGATATCCACCGTCCGTAAAGCCCGAACTTCTACACTTTCTAAAGAAATGGGCGTGTCTAAAGATAGCTCAAAACGTTCCATCCAAAGGAAAATTTTACCACTTCAATGCGCTTCATTGTATACTGGTAATATATTTGAATTATGTCTTTTATGTTCAGGTCAGTTCAAAAGCTTTCAAGTTTTTGTTGAATTCAAAAACTAAAGTTTACTTATTTATAATAACGAAGTCTTTATTATGTATACAGTAAAACTTGTTTAGTATGAATACGGATATTGCGAATTCACAGATAAAGTGAGGATGTCTTGGATCCCCAACTGTATAAATTTAACAAATTATATACTGATATTATAACAAATTACGTATATAACAAAGTAATTTCATAGGTCCCAGTTACTTCGTCATAACCAAGTTTTACTGTATATGTAAAATTATGTGCTCATTTCTAAGTTTGGTTACTGACCCTTTGGCCTCAAAATCATGTTTACATGTACCTAAAATAAAAAAAAAAAACTAGATGTGTGTATAAATTAATTGCAAAGTTCATTTTTTTTCTATGGGAAACAACAAATATCTATCTGATCAAAACATAACAGGAACAGAACAATGTCATTTATATGTAATAAGATTCTGCAAAAGTATCATAGATCTTATTCTGTGCCAGTGGAATAGGATTAATTGCAAATAAGATACTGTACTGGTTCCCCCAATAATACCCGGAACATGGTAGTGTCCATGTATATGAGTATTCAATCAATATCTGCAATCAATTTGTAAATTTAGAAGGTAACAGAGGAAATATGTAATAAAAGATTCCATGAAAGTATCATATTTTATTGAGAGGTAAAGGGGGGTTGAGGATAAGAATGGGTGCCCTTGAACTTTATAGAAAGAATGGCAGTGTGTATATTTTTTGCAAAAATCGAGAATCCCCATAAATATGTCAAACCAAAAAGTAAAATAAAGGGTCATAATGGCTCTGTTGTGAAAGTTTCATTATAAAATCTATTCATTCAGTTGTATAGGAGTAGTGCAGATAAAAATTCTTTCAAAATGGCCAATATTTCACTCTCTTTTTTCTTCAATATTTTGTAAATTTTATAGAGCATAGGAAAGCCTAAGTTTCTTTTTATTTTCAATCATATTCTATTAAATAGAACTTTTATTCAAGATTGTAAGACTTGAAGAGCACAACCTTTGATCTGAAAGGTATTACTTTTCAATCAAAGAACTGTGTGATAAGATTATAAAAAAAGCAGCATTTTTATTTTCATGAAGGGACGTGATCATATTTTTGTTTACAATTTTTTTTTACATCTATACTGAAGGTACTCAGATAAATATGTTTTCAGAAAAACCAAGAACATTTCAATATAGATGGTTTTCCATTGAGGTAATTTAAGCAAGAGTTATTCCCCATGACCGTCATGTTGTAGGGCAACGTCCCCAGATCCCTTCATTATCCAACCAAGTTCAATGTGTTATACTGGTTACTGAGGTAAATTTAACACTATTTTCTTATGAAAATATGTTTGTTAAAGCCTCTAATAATTCATAATCTTGAGATTGTAAATATTTTCCCCCATATATTTCTGGCATGCATGTTTAAATTTGGTTGCTTAAAGAGGAAAATTCACTGCTTTGCCCTGCAAGATGTCGGCTAAAGGAAATAACTTCGAGGCAAAATATGTCAAAGGAAATCCATTTATTACAAGGCCAATGGGGCAATTTGGTAATGGTTATCTGGACTTTCTAAAGAAACCTTTTATTCTTTATATATTCTACTTTATACTGATGAGGATGATGTTACAATGGGACAATAATTTAATCAATTAATTGGTATATAAAATATGTAAATACCATATTTTGTGTGATTTCAAAGTATTTTTCACTGTGTTTGGAATTATTAAAAAACAAAACACATTTATTGCAAAAGATTTCTGGAATTTCATACATTTAAAATAAATACACAAGTAACACAACTTGGTAAGTGCAGAGACATATGGTTTTATATGTCTTTGGTAAGTGCCCCGAATGAAAGACAGAGGAAATTCGAACTATAATATAAACAAACCCTTTTTTTAATTAAATACCTGATAAAATCTTTGTCACTTGTTCACATGGTGTGTTTTTTGGTTCTCTGAAGAAAAAATAACCACAATTATGCACTAAATTATACAGAAAGGGGTAAAATAAAAACTAATATAACGTCATTTTTGATTTTTTGATGCTTTGTTGCTATGCACTTTTCTGACCCGGATTCATACCATAATCGCTTTCACAAGAACGTTTGGTTAATAGGCGAAAAGGTTAGAAAAAGTTGAGAAAAGGTGAGTTCTTCATTTGAAAAAAAAAAGATAGTCATCGGCGATGGAACTCAAAACTAATGATCTTATTATCCTGATCTTCAATGAAATCTAAATCCATAATATCCAAATATGAAAAAAATTCCGAATGCTGAATCCAATGAAGGTTTTGCTAATGTCAGTGAATAAAACTGAACTGAGAAGGAAGATTTAAGCAATGAATGAGTACTTTTCAGATTTATTTGGAAAGTATAAAAGTAAATCTTACTATTTTTAGCAAAGATTACCGAAATTATTTTCTCTTATCTATGATTGTGTACTTAGGTTTAGTTTCCAATTTAAAAAAAAAAACAGATTAAAATAGATAGATTAAAGTGATTATTTTATAGTAGTAAATTTTAAATATACAATTTCCAGAGTTTTTTATGAAGTCCATATGCTTAGTAACTGAGCCTGAAGTTTCCATGTATCAATCTGATTCATTTGTTATATGTCATCGATGTCTTTAGAGGATCCTGGTCATGGCACCAAAATATGCTTCTGTTTTAAAGTTCCTTATGTTATTATTTTTATTCAGTTTTCTTTTCGATTCTATTTTGTACATGTTTTTCAGATATGGAGATGAAACCAATTGGTTATATAAATTCCTTGTTTACATTTAAAAATGGAACCCCTCGACAACCATCGGTATGCCCATTTGCCCGTGGCTCACTAAAAATAGAAAAGTCCATCTTCACAAACCCAGAGCATTCATTAGAGGGCTTGGAGGAGTTTTCTCATATATGGTTAATATCTTGTTTACAATTATTCATATCATATAAACTTTTTTTAAACAATTGTTATTGCTAAAGCATTAAGAGAAAATTTTCTTTTTCTTTTAGCTTCTTCACTAGCCAAGGGTTTAAAAATTGCTCCACTTCTGAGGAGTGGAATGGATCATAAACCCTTTGCTAGCAAAGATGTCCTTTGATAGAGATGTTTATGAAAGCAAATCTTTATATCCATTTATTAAGTAATTAAAATATATTTCACTTATATTCATCTACATGCATGTACATGCTTTTTTGTTGCCTTTTTAGGTTGATATTTGTCTTTCATAAAAACAATGCAGAATATGTGAAAGCTAAAGTTAAACCTCCAAGACTAAATGGAAAAAGAGTTGGACTGTTTTCAACACGATCTCCGTATCGACCCAATGCTATTGGACTTACACTAGCAAAACTAGACACTGTTTCAGGTACTTGAAGATTGCTTGTATTTTTTCATTAGAGCTATTTCTTATAACAATTTTACATAGGCTGTAGTCCAAATATTTCCTTTCATCAGTGATTTCTAGAAAGATGAAATAAAAGTTGCACACAAAGAAATATTAGGTTTGAAAATAAGGGAGATTTGGACCTGTCTCTAAATCAGTAGGCCTGAAGAATGAACTAATGCATGTTAAAATAGAAAATACATACTACACATTAAAATATCTTCATTATTTTTTTTTTCTGTTAGGAAGCACATTGCATCTCAGTGGTATAGACTTATTAGACGGTACACCAGTGTTAGATGTCAAACCTTATATCCCAGAGTATGACTCACCACCATCCTCTTGTAAAAATAATTCTTCTGATGAGAAAGACTTAAAGGAGACTTTGGATGATCCTGGTAGTGAGAATCAAGAATTAGAGTCACTGCCCTCTGATGTAGATCAAGAAAATGAATGTATCGCAACATCTTCAGGGGATGATCATACAAACAATTCAGAATATGTGAAAGAAAAAATTAAAGTACCTCAGGTAGAGCACTTGGATGAAAATAAACATATGTTTGATGGAAAAGCTTTTAATCAAGCTCCCGAGAACCATGACTGTAGCAATGAAATATCTTCAAACTGTGAATCTCAAACTCAGTCTTTCAGCAGTCCTGAAGTTAAATCTGCAAAGTGGATTTCAGATGCACCTGTTACGAAGTTGTGTGTAACAATCACAGAAAGGGCTAGTTCTCAGTTGCATAGGTTTTCAAAAAGTGCAATAAATAATGACTTTAGACTAAAATTCCTAGACTCTGCGGATGAAGCTTTAGAGGCTATCCGTGCCATTCTCAGTGAAGATCCACGTTCAATCTACAGACGTCAGAAGTGTGAGGACAATCTGTATTACTTCACAGTTGATGTGCTGCATGTAACTTGCTGGTTTGATGACGACTTAGTGGAAATAGTCAGAGTACAACCTATTTCACATGCTCAACATCTTAAACTTTCATAAATATATTGATGTTAAATATTTCTTATATATACTCAAATACAGTGTGTAATCACTATTTTAAATACTTCATAATTAAAGCTGTTATTTCTTGGGGTCAGTGTTGGTGATTTTTGTTGTTGTTGGTAACTTCATGTCTTGTACAACCTGAAGATGTATTGATTGTTGACAAAATACATGAATATTATGAGTTTATGGGATTGACATCTAATCATTTTAATCATATTACATTATATTAGGGGTTTTCATATTAAGATATTTAATTTTATTGAAGAAAGCTCAAAGAACTTGAAAATGTTTTTATTGATAAAGTATGATTTTTTACCTTCATGACATTTGACACCTCAAAATCAAAAGAAGTCTTTTTTTTAAGTCCAAATGGGGTTGTGGTATAAATTAACCATTGCAGAAGCTCAAGACTTTTAATGATATTGATGAAAAATGAATGTTTAAAACAAAAACAGAATTAACAAATGTCATAAATTTTCATTTCAACAACGCAGATGTGTACCGAGATTCTGCATGGAAAAGAAGTGTTACTGAAAGACAAAATGTATGAATTTATGACTTGAAGTGACCTTTGATCTTTTTGCCCTCAAAACCAAAAGGGGTCATATTTAGGTCATTAGGAGTTGTGATATAAAATTTTATTGCAAAAGCTCAAAACCTTTTTGAGACATTGTCTGAAAACAAAGGTGTTAAAAAAAATGTATGAATTTATGACCTTGACCTCAAAATCAATAGGGATCTTTTTTAGTTAATAGGGATTTGATTTAGCAAAAGCTTAAAGGCTTCTTGAGATGTCAATTAGGTGTCTTTCTGGATGAGATGTAATTTTTTTTATGACATATTGCCAAAAATTCTGTATCACGATATATCACGATTTTTTCCCACAATATCACGATAATATATTTTTAAAAGTAGTTTTTACATTGATTTGATATGAAAAGTCATAATTTTTCTTAAAAAATATGCCAGAAAAACAAGATTTTACTTTCTTGAAATTTTTATGTATATAAAATCAATTATGTTTGGATCGTAAGATTCCGTTCTTTTCACTTTTATAACATTTTTTATACTTTCTGTAATTGTAATTTGAAAGATTGAACAAATAAATGAATAATTTCTGGACTTTATAATACCGGGGTATGTACCTATAGACCGATATTTAGGTCTCCGTATCACGATACGTATCACGCAACAAAAAATCGCGATATACCGGTATACCGATAAAATCGCACATCCCTACATATTGTGTCTAATAAAAACATCCTATCATATGTCATTTATTTAGAAATTATCACGAAGTTGATTTTTTTTAAAAATAAGGTCAATCGTGAAGGTCAAGGTCAAGGGGTAAGAAATTATAGCATGCTCGGAAATATCTTGTCACAGGTAATGCACATGTCAAATACGAAAGCCCTATCTCTTCTCAATATAAGGAACAAGATGTGTTTGTGAAACACTGATGACCCCGTATGGCAACATAACGAAGATTTAACTTTTCTTAAATACAAATGAAATATATGTAATATTACCCAAAGTTGGGTTTTCAGACAAGAAATACGATTGTGAAATACAAAATCCCTAGCACCACCTGTTCAAAAGTTATGGCCAAGGATAAATTTTTGAAAGGTAGGTCAAACTCCAAGGTGAACGGATCTGAGTTGTTGATTTCTTAAGAAAGGTCACAAGTAATATATATGTGAAGGATGAAAACCCTAACCCTTACTGTTCAATAGTTATAGCCAAGATAAAAGTTATTAAAAAGTAGGTCAATCTTCAAAGTCAAGGTCAAAGGGTCAAAGTTCTTTGTATTCGATGAAAGGTCTTCTCACAAGGATTAGGTATTTGAAGTACGAAAGCCCTAGCCCTTACTGTTCAAAAGTTATAGTCAAGGTTAAAGTTTTTTCATAAGTGCAGAAATCTCCATGGTCAAGGACAAAAGGTCAATATTGTTGGTATTAAAAGGCCTTGCCACAAAAAATATATATGTGAAATATGAAAGTCTTAGTATCTACCGTTCATAAGTTGTGACCAAGATCAAAGTTTTTGAAAAGTAGGTCAAGGTCAAAGGGTCAAAGTTCTTGGTATCCAATAAAAGGTCTTCTCTCAAGGATTACATATATGAAGTACGAAAGCCCCAGCCCTTACCGTTCAAAAGTTATATTCAAGGTTAAAGTTTTTTCATAAGTGCAGAAATCTCCATGGTCAAGGTCAAATGGTCAAAATTGTTGGTATCAAATGAAAGGCCTTGCCCCAAAGAATATATATCTGAAATATGAAAGTCCTAGTTTCTATCATTCAAAAGATATCGCCAAAGTAAAAGTTTGGAAATTTTGTGTAAAAGTGGGTCAAACTCCAAGGTCAAAAGGTCAAATTTTGTGGTACCCAAAGAAAGGTCTTGTCACAAGGAATAAACATTTGCAATATGAAAGCCATACCTCCACTAAATCAAAAGTTATGGGCAAGGTTAAAGTTTTTTTGTGACGGACGGACAGACGGACTGCTAGACAGACTAACGGACAGCCGAATGAGATTTAATGTCCCCTTGCTTTTGCGAAAGCTGCAGTTCTGTAGCGTTATGGTTTAAGTTTTTATGTATTTGTCTTTGACCATAACGCTACAGACCCTGTAATGTAAATCAAAGTACTCAGAAGTACAGAGAGCCGGGCTCATTTACAGAGTAGAATGGATTTCTTACATGAATCACGTTTATATTCTGATGAAAAAATTATTTTAAAACTATCACTGATATAAATGATAAGACACTGACAGTGAGTTTTACAATCCTAATACCACGGTCCGATTTTGTCAGAATCAGAATTAACCTGGTACCGCAGCTGAATGTAAACAAACAGGCCAGTCTGGTTCCCTCTCCTGCTTTACCTCGTACGTGTAGAGAACTACGGTAACACTGATTATCAAAAATCCTTATGCTAATGAACTATGTTCTTTGACTAATGAAGTTTTCAAAGTCATTACTACAAATGTTTATTTTATATAGATGAAACTTCGTTTTATTTTTGTTGCTTTGTTTAGCGTTTGTATTATCTCAAAAGCGGTTGAGAGTAAGAACTATATTTTTGCACGTAACTTTACAATGGCGACTATTGGGTTAACATCCTGCCTTGAACAGGATCACATAAGCCGGCAACTGCTCTTTGAGCAATAAGCCCGGCTAAAAACTGGCAATATACGGCGCAATATTTTTTGAGCACTTATGGGGAGAATTTCTCCACTATACAGCATTGGTCAATCAACTACCTTTCACTCCCTAATTCTAGACACATTCTGTAGCCAATATGTATATTTTATCCACCTCCAAACCATTTATAGTTGTCTCTACAGGCAATAAACTCGCTTGAAGTGAATTTTCAGCAATCTAACAAAAAATTTTAATCAAGCTAGTTTGTCACTTGTAGAGACGATTATAAAGGGTTGGGAGATGGATAAAATATACAGATTGGTTAAATAATGTGCATAGAATTAGCATACTCGCTTCTCTAACATAACCTCGAGGTCATCGACCGTCTCAAACCACGGCCCGGAGTCCGCATATAGCTCTCTCCAGAATAGGAGTGGATCGTACATTTTGGCCGTGGTTTGCTACGATGCCTCGAGGTCTGAAGAGCGCATTCGGCGAATGGAGCATAGCGGAGTCAGCCGAGAATACTTAGACGTCATAATGAAATACGTCACAATTACGGTGACGTCTTTGTATTATGACGTCACAATTATAACATCCTTCACAACGGAGGCAAAACATTGAAGTCGTGAGCATTGAAACCATTATGGTAATTTAGAATTTTGGTTAAACTATATACACTCGATTTAAATTATTTCTATAATTAACAGTTCATTATTGGTTTGCTTATTTTTTCATGATTCACAGGAACCTAAGTACAAGAAGAGTAAGGAATATTTTGGAAGTTTGGGAGACTCAGAAAGTGATTGGGTAAACAATACTTGGTCAGAATTCAAAGACGGTACCGAATACCTAGAATGGTTGGAGCGACAACTTCCATATCTAGAGGTATAGGAAAATGCACATTTCATTGTACCTATATAAAACGAACATTAAATGTTACATTTTAAAGCGAGTGAGTGATTTTTATTGCGTTTATTTTTTTTATTTCATGATTTACATCATAATTTATATAATATCATTTTTTTTTAAGGAATTTGAAGACAGTGATGCGGTTCATTACTACTTTTTTCGGAGCTGGAGCAAACACACATCATACTTTCCCGAGATGGAACCTTTAATTGCAAGTTATTTTCTTATCATTTGAAAATTTATTCGATGCCTATTTCTTAGTACAAGTATAGAGAAATATATAATATTTTTACACATAAATAAAAACCTGGAAAAAAATTCCCACCCTCAACTAAAGTGTTTTTTTAGTTGAGGGTGGGATTTTTTTTTGACGATAAAAACTTCAGACTCCTGTGATAAAAACAAATCTCTCATTTATTTTACAGGAAAAAGAAACTGAAGAGGAAGATAGTGTAGGTTTGACAGATGACTATGCTAATGGAGCAGTGAAGAATTCTGAAAAGGTGTGGGAAATTGGAACAAAGCCAGAATTCAAAGACGGGAGATAACTCGTGGAATGGCTCGAAATAAAATTACCATATCTGGAGGTACTTGAAAGTACAAAAACACATATATAAGGTGACATTGTAGTTAATCATGACCACATTTTTACTTATATTTTATTTTCAGCCATTTGCTCCAAAAGACGCCGTGCATTACTATTTCAACAGACAGTGGAGTCGGCAAAAATCTGAACTTAAACTCGAAGTATTAGTTGTAAGTGTATATACATATCTGTTTTTTTTTTTTTTAGCTTTTCTAATGAACACTGGGATAAATTTGTAGATTTCCTTTAAGAAGTTTTATGTCTATGTTTACAATTTTGTCGATTTTATTCAAGGAAGAAGACAATGAGAACGAGAATGAAACAACTGACCACTGCCATGGGGATGACAAAAGCTTGGAGTTGAGTCCGCATATTAATCTGAATTTCATTTTCCTATACTTTATGAATTTACAATGTATATAAAATCAATATTCCGTTCATTGTTAGCATTGTTTTTTATTTAAATCTTCTGTATCTTATTTTTAGAACAAAGATGACAGAAATCCATATATCAAAATGATGGCTAGCCCTTTGGTTCTGGAAGGATTTAATTTTAAGGTAAATAATGAACTGATTGTCTTAAACTTTGAAATATGTCTTACCAGAAATTTAAAGTTCATTGTTAAAAAAAAGTTTTCTTTTCCCCTAGAAATCTGAGCCACATGGAGATGACACCTCAAAAAATGCTATCAAGGAGAAGGGTACACTTATGATGCAGTTTACGAATGGAAGCGATTCTCTGATTGATGAAAAAATGGTAATATACATGATACATAAATTTATATTCAAAGTAGATAGATATTTCAGTGGTCACTTGTGCCCAGTAAAGCATATCCGGTCCTCAGCCATAAAGAATCATTTTTAATTCTATTTCACTTTATAAAAAAAATCATAAGCCTAAAATTGAAATCTTCTCGCGCAGGAATTTTCATTTCAAGGTTTTATCAATCAATCCTTTTCAAACTTATGGTATAACAAGAATTTTTGCAAAAAAAATCAACGAATAATTTTTTTTGTATTATTTTTAGTTGAGTGGTGTCACAATAGCAAAAATCCAATCTAGGCTCCACCCATTTCTACAGAAGAAAGTAAGTTATGTTCGATATCAAATGACATGTTAAAATAAATGGTATGTCGTTACGGGAAAAACAATCTATTTGTTAAGACTGAAATATTTGTTGTTACCAATTATTAAGATTATAACAATGTGCTTTTATTATTTCAGAATAAGGAGAAGCGAGATCATTTTACAGATGAGAAGAAATCAAAGAAAAAGACTAAGAAGACGAAGTTTTCATTTTTTCGTCGTGTGTTTGGTTGATGCCTGAGACAAACTATATACAGAGAATTGTTAAATTATTCATAGTATTATTTAATTTTTTATAATACATATCACTTGATTGAACATAAAAATGTATTTCTGTATTGCATTTGTTATGATTGATTACTTTTAACATTAACAAGATGTGTTTGTGAAACACCGATGCCCGTGTATGGCAACTTATAGCGATTTTTTTTTTCAAATGCAAATCAGACAAGTCATGTTGATACCCAAAGTAAGGCCTTCTCACAAGAAATACAAATGGGAAATATAATACCCTAGCTCCGCCCACCTGTTCAAAGGTACGACCAAGGTTAGCGTTTTTAAGGTAGGTCAAACTCTGGGGTCAAGGTCAAAGGGTCGAAGTTGTTGGTATCCAATGAAAAGTCTTGTCAAAAGGATTACAAGATACAAGATACAAGATACAAGATTTTATTAATCCAATTTGGGCCCCCGGAGGAGCAAAAAGATTTACAAATAGAAGGAGGAGGATCCAAATGATAGAACAAACATGATGATGATATTACAAATAAAGAGCAATTGTTCAAAAAAAACAAAAAAAAGTATATAAGAGATATACTGAATATACATACATGTATTGTATTGTAAGTTACATACAAATATATATAATTTATACATATATATATATATATATATATATATATATATATATATATATATATATATATATATATATATATATATATATATATATAGTTAAGGGCAAGAAACTGGGAAAGAGGTATATAATTTTTTATGCTTATCACAATATCTTCAATTAAGGTAAATTACTAAGGAATGCAGCAAGTGATCTAAGGATGTCTGGGTCTTCATTAGTCATGAGCCAATAAAATTGATTATCATAAGATAGAGATTGAAAATTTTTACATTTAATTTTACAAATATTTATGAGTTCAAGTCTTTGTACATTAAGATGAGGACATACAAGGAGAAAATGAATTTCATCCTGAATCTCGTTGTGATGACAAAGTGAACAAATTCGTTCCTCTCTAGGTATTTTTTGGTAACGTCCAATTTCAATTTTAAGCCTGTGAGCCGATATTCTTAACTTTGTTAAAACTGATCTATGTTGATTGTTTGTAAGAATATCTAGATAAGGTTCAAAACAAAATTTAGTCTTTATGCTGGTAAAGGTAGACAATTTGCCATCTTTATGTAAATTCCTGTCTTTTTCCCATTTTAATTTATAGAAATTCAGTAATATTCTTTTCAAATTGGTTTTAAATTGTGGGGTTGACATACCTAGGAAATCACTAATTTTAATATCAATATGGTTAAGTAAGAAGTTAACACAAGAATACCATGAAGTAAAACCATTTTGGTGTAGTGTTTTAGAGCAGTTAAAAGCCTCACTAAGCAAGGGAAATTCACCATCTAGATTCTCTAATCTATGCCAGTATAACAACATATTTTTAATGACATCAAAATGTAAATTCAAACGCTCAGATCTTACAGCAAAATTGCTGCTTTTACCATGAACCATTAGTAAATGTTTGTAAAATTTAAGATTTAGAATTTCGCCTTCTAAGCTTTGGTATATTTTGTCTAGTGTTATATTTGGATTTCTCTTAAATTTAGAGGTTGTTGGGTCAAAAAGCCCCCATAACTCCGAACATATATATATAATATACATATTGGAAGTTTGAAAGCCCTAGTCCTAACCGTTCAAAAGTCATTGCCAGGGTTAAAGTTTTAAGAAAATGGGTCAAAGGGTCAAAGTTTTTGGTATGCAATGGAAAGTCTTGTCAAAAAGATTACATATACTAGTGTATATATAAGTATGAAAGGCCTAGCACCAACCATTTAAACGTTATAGCCAAAGTAATAGTTTTGAATTTTGGTGTAAAATTGTGTCAAACTCCAAGGTCAGATCTTGTCATAAGAAATACAGAATAGTCGACTTTCACATTACCGTCGCCATTTTAGGTCAAAGGTCAATCGGCGTAAACATGCCATCGCGTCAGTAGAAACAAAATGGCTACATGTAATACATCAGTCCAGAGGGTCGTTCAATCTGACGTTTATTGTTTTTATTCTGTAGCAAAGATCCATACACGTAAGAAAATCAAAATTCTTTATTACTGAAATTATTAAATAACAATAAATTGCCATTACTTTCATTCAAAATTCGTGCGAATCGGACATTAATGTAGTCGCATAGCGTTTCTCCCTATGTAAACACTCATGACGAGAGACATTATAAACTAGTATTTAAAATCAATGAATACCGTTTCATACAGGATAATATTTTTAATCATAGCCTTAATTATTGATATCACTTTGTTTCATCCTACAAAAATGTTTTGTTTTGTTTTTTCAACGGATATGTCATATATATTTATATAATTGCAGTATTTTAGATCTAATGATCTATAATACTACAGTAGATATAAGATTTTATTTAAACCAAGAGACATACGTCTCATAGGTAGAACACTGTATGCAGTTATGGACAACAATCCCAACTGCCTGCAGTTCCCCATTTAGTAATATACATAATATTGTACATGTAGATGTATATCTAAGATAAAATTTATGTGTCAAAAAAAAAAAAACAACAAAAACAAACTAGAGGTACTGTGAGCAATGAGCTCACTAAATGATGCCCCCGCCTCCCATAAGAATATAATGGTAGTGTCCATGTTTGCTGTGGGAAACCCAAACTAATGTGTCAGATCAAAAAGTAAAATAGGATGTTACAATGGCAATATGTAACTAGTGCTAATTGTAACGGGGACCGTTACAGATGTTCCCCAAACGCTCCCCAACTCCCTTTTGGTGCCATATTCCCTGTAAGCTTCATTTATTAACAAACTCTATGCATTTGAAATTTTAACAATGTTTACCCAGAAATGTACCATGCTCATTCAAATTTTAGCATTGCATGTGTGCACATGTGAAGGCATATACGTAATGACCATATCATCTTGTCTACACAATCTATATATTTCAATATACTAAATATTAAAGTATTTAATCCAAAAGTATTAAAAAATTCGCTCATTCAAGTGTATTTCTGATTTTACCCATTGCACGTGCACGCACGTGCATACATGAACATGGTGACCATACCTTCTTGCAGAAGTTCATTAAATCTATCTATGTTCTAAATCCCATCCCGTTTGGTTGAAAACCAAGGGAGTTAAAACTGTTTAAAGTTTCAGCCAATCAGAGTGCAGCGTACGTACACGCACATGTATGCATGTGCATGGAGACCATACCTTCTTGTAGATGTCCATTATATATATATATATATATATATATATATATATATATATATATATATATATATATATATATATATATATATATATATGTTCCAAATTCCATCCTGTTTGGTTGAAAACCAAGGAAGTTATAACTGTTTAAAGTTTCAGCCAATCAGATTGCAGCTCACATACACGCACGTGTATGCATGTGCATGGTGACCATACCTTATTGTAGAGGTCCATTTAATATATCTATGTTCCAAATCCCATCCTGTTTGGTTGAAAACCAAGGGAGTTATAGCTTTTTAAAGTTTCAGCCAATCAGATTGCAGCTCACGTACACGAACGTGTATGCATGTGCATGGTGACCATACCTTTTTTTAAAAGTCCATTTTATATATCTATGTTCCAAATCCCATCCTGTTTGGTTAAAAATCAAGGGAGTTATAGCTATTTAAAGTTTCAGCCAATCAGATTGCAGCGCACGTGCATGCACGTGTTTTCATGATAATTTCTATATATCATGTTGTAGGATATCCTAATGCATGGCTATGTTCAAAATTTCAAAGGATCTCCTCAAAAAACAAGAAAGATATTGAGACTTTAGTTTCAGCCAATCAGAGCAAAGCGCACGTGCATGCGCGTGAGATCTTGCTATTTTGACCATGTCATATTGTCTATATTACTAATATATCCTTACATTATGAGTTTCAAAGCATTTCATCAAAAATTAAAAAAGTTACTCCTATATCAATCAAATCGGTCATTTTACATGTTGCACGTGCGCGCTCTTGCAAGCACGTGCGCGCAAAATGACCTTTGTTCGGCAAATCTACATAACATGTCCATAGACCCTAAAAACATTTTACCTTAGTCGGATGTGTAGTTTACAAGATCACTCAAGGACAAAATTTTCCCAGGAATAATAATAATAATAATAACTAGTGCTAATTGTAACGGGGACCGTTACAGATGTTCCCCAAACGCTCCCCATCTCCCTTTTGGTGCCATATTCCCTGTAAGCTTCATTAAATAAGACAAACTTTATGCATTTGAGACTTTAACAACGTTTACCCAGAAGGGTACCAAGTTCATTCAAATTTTAGCATTGCACGCGTGCGCATATGAATGTACGTGCGTAATGACCATATCATCTTGTCTACACTATCTATATACTTTAATATACTAAATATTAAAGTATTTAATTCAAAAGTATTAAAAAATAGGCTCATTCAAGTGTATTTTTGGTTTTACTCATTTCACGTGCACGCACGTGCATACATGAGCATGGTAACATACTCTTGTAGAAGTCCATTACATCTATCTATGTTCTAAATCCCACCCCGTTTGGTTGAAAACCAAGGGAGTTCTAGTTGATTAAAGTTTCAGCCAATCAGATTGCAGCGTACGTTCACGCACGTGTTTTGATGTGCATGGTGATCATACCTTCTTGTAGAAGTCCATTATATCTATCAATGTTCCAAATCTCATCCTGTTTGGTTGAAAATTAAAGGATTTATAGCTATTTAAAGTTTCAGCCAATCAGATTGCAGCACACGTACACGCACGTGTATGCATGTGCATGGTGACCATACCTTCTTGTAGAAGTCTATTATATCTATCTATGTTCCAAATCCCATCCTGTTTGGTTGAAAACCAAGGGAGTTACAGCTATTTAAAGTTTCAGCCAATCAGATTGCAGCACACGTGCATACACGTGTTTTCTTGATAATTGCTATATATCATGCTGTATGATATCCTAATGCATGGCTATGTTCAAAATTTCAAAGGATTTCATCAAAAACCAAGAAAGATATTGAGACTTTAGTTTCAGCCAATCAGAGCGAAGCGCACGTGCATGCGCGTGAGATCTTGCTATTTTGCCCATGTCATATTGTCTATGCTACTACTATATCCTTATATTATGAGTTTCAAAGCATTTCATCAAAACAGTAAAGATTTACGTCTATATCAATTAAATCGGTCATTTCACGTGTTGCTCGTGCGCGCTCTTGCAAGCACGTGCACACAAAATGGCATGTTGACAATGTCATCTTATCTACATTTATAATATGTCTACATATTCTAAATATCAAAGCATTACATCGAAAAATGTAAAAGTTACGGCAATTTCAAGTATATTGGTCATTTCACGTGTTGCACGTGCGCGCTCTTGCAAGCACGTGCGCGCAAAATGACCTTCGTTCCGCAAATCTACATAACATGCCTACTTACCCTAAAAAGATTTCCCCTTAATCGGATGTGTACTTTACAAGATCATTCGCGGACAAAATTTTCCCGAGAAGAAAAATAATAATAATAATAATAACTAGTGCTAATTGTAACGGGGACCGTTACAGATGTTCCCCAAACGCTCCCCATCTCCATTTTGGTGCCATATTCCCTGTAAGCTTCATTAAATAAGACAAACTTTATGGATTTGAGACTTTAACAACGTTTACCCAGAAGGGTACCAAGTTCATTCAAATTTTTGCACGCTTGCGCATGTGAATGCGTGTGCGTAATGCCCATATCATCTTATCTACACAATCTATATACTTTGATATACTAAATATTAAAATATTTAATCCAAAAGTATTAAAAAATACGCTCATTCAAGTGTATTTTTGATTTTACTCATTCCACGTGCACGCACGTGCATACATGAACATGGTGACATACCTACTTGTGGAAGTCCATTACATCTATCTATGTTCTAAATCCCACTCAGTTTAGTTGAAAACCAAGGGAGTTATAGCTGATTAAAGTTTCAGCCAATCAGATTGCAGCGTACATTCACGCACGTGTATTGATGTGCATGGTGATCATACCTTCTTGTAGAAGACCATTATATCTATCTATGTTCCAAATCTCATCCTGTTTGGTTGAAAATTAAGGGAGTTATAGCTATTTAAAGTTTCAGCCAATCAGATTGCAGCGCACGTACAGGCACGCGTATGAATGTGCATGGTGACCATACCTTCTTGTAGAAGTCCATTATATCTATCTATGCTCCAAATCCCATTCTGTTTGGTTGAAAAACAAGGGAGTTATAGCCATTTAAAATTTTAGCCAATCAGATTGCAGCGCACGTGCATGCGCGTGTTTACATGACAATTGTTATATGTCATATTGTAGTACATCCTGAAGTATGCCTATGTTTTAAATTTCATAGCATTTTGTCAAAAAACAGAAAAGATATTGAGATTTTTGTTTCAGCCAATCAGAGTGAAGCGCACGTGCATGCGCGTGAGTTCATGCTAATTTGACAGTGTCACATTATCTACAGTATTAATATATCTTTATATAATGAGTTTCAAATCATTTCATCAAAAAATGTAAAAGTTATAGCTATATTAATTATATCAGTCAATTCACTCATTTCACGCGCACGCACGTGCAGGCGTATGCGCGCAAAATGACCTTCGTTCCGCACACCTACACTACACACCTATTAACCCTAAAAAGGTTTTAGCTCAGTTGGGTGAACAGTTTCTGAGAACACTCGCGGACAAAAAAAGTACCGGAGAAGAAATAAGAAAAAAAATAATAATAATAACTAGTGCTAATTGTAACGGGAACCGTTACAGATGTTCCCCAAACGCTCCCCAACTCCATTTCGGTGCCATATTCCCTGTAAGCTTCATTAAATAAGACAAACTCTGTGCATTTTTTAATTTTACAACGTTTTTTCCAGAAGGATACCAGTTATATTCAATTTTTAGCATTGCACCCAAGCGCATGTGAATGCATGTGCGTTATGACCATATCATCTTGTATTTCAAGAGTATTTTTAGATATACTCGTTTCAAATGCACACACGTGCGTGCACGTGCATCATGATCATACCTTCTTGTAGGAGTCCCTTACATCTATCTATGTTCTAAATCCTATCCTGTTTGGTTGAAAAACAAGGGACTTATAGCCATTTAAAGTTTCAGCCAATCAGATTGCAGCACACGTGCATGCGCGTAATTTCATGATTTTTTTAATATCATTTTGTAGGATATCCTAATGCATGACTATATTTTAAATTTCAAAGAATTTCGTCAAAAAACAAAGGAGAAATAGCAATTTAAAGTTTCAGCCAATCAAATTGCAGCACACGTGCATGCGCGTGATTTCATGATTTTTTTTCTATATCATTTTGTAGGATATCCCAATGCATGACTATATTTTAAATTTCAAAGAATTTCGTCAAAAAACAAAGGAGATATAGCCATTTAAAGTTTCAGCCAATCAGCTTGCAGCACACGCACATGCGCATGCTTTCATGAAAATTCTTATATATCTTGCGGTAGATCATTATAATGTAGGACTATCTTCAAAATTTCAAAGGATTATGACAAGAAACAAGAAAGTTATTGATTCTTTAGTTTCAGCCAATCAGAGCAAAGCGCACGTGCATGCGCGTGAAATCTTGCTATTTTGACCATGCTATCTTGTCTATACTACTAATGTATCCTTACATTATGAGTTTCAAAAAATTTCATCAAAAAATAGAAAAGTTACGGCAATATCCATTATATTGGTAATTTCACTTAATGCACGTGCGCGCTCTTGCAAGCACGTGCGCGCAAAATGACCTTTGTTTGGCAACTCTACATAACATGCCTACTAACCCTAAAAAGGTTTCACCTAAGTCGGATGTGTAGTTTACAAGATCACTCGTGGACAAAATTTTCCCAGGAAGAAGAAAAATAATAATAATAATAATAATAATAATAATAATAAGAAACAGAGTAAAAACAATATGTTCCCCAACTTCGTTTGGGGAACATAATAAGAAACAGAGTAAAAACAATATGTTCCCAAACTCCGTTTGGGGAACATAATAAGAAACAGAGTAAAAACAATATGTTCCCAAACTCCGTTTGGGGAACATAATAAAGATTCTGTGAAAGTCTGATAAAATTTCATTCAGTGGTATGATGCGGATAAGAGATGGGTACCCCAAAGTGTAACAGGTGGATGTACAGACGGATATACCAATTACTATATACCCTCCTGCTTTTCAAGCAGAGTATAACAAAAAAAAAAAAAAAAAAAAAAACACACACACACAAACCAAACAAACACAAAAAGAGATGTTGTCTTAATCATGTAATTATAAGTAATTGCCATAAGTATTAAATTTGAATAGTAAGTCTTAAGAAAGAATGATTAAAGAAGAAAATTTGATTCAAATTTAAGATACCTTGTTTAAACAAATATACAATGCAGAGTGCTCTTGGACTGTTCTCCCCTAACTTTCAGTGAAGATGTTAATTACATTCTTTAAATTTTTCATTGTCAAAATTAAATATTGAAAAATCTTTATGATTTTGTTTTAAATTTCAGCATTTGGTGATGGGTATGTTGCAAAATTTTGTTGAGTTTCTAATTTTCAGTTTAGGAGTTCCAATTATTTTTGGTTTGTTTTTAAACATTATGACCCAGAGAGTTTGTTGTGTCAAAGACTGCAACAGCAGTGGATATCATTTGAAAAAATGGCGAGAACAGTTTTGCGAAATGCACTTTTGCAATTTTGGCACATCAAGGTGCATATGCGCACCACCCTTTCAGTTATTTCCCTTTCCAACTGAACTTCGCGATCCCCATGCACGGTCTGTATGGAGAAAGAACATAAACAGGACCTCAACAGATGGGAAGAACATCTGGTCACCAAATGACAATTCGCGAGTTTGTTCTAAGCATTTTGTTGATGGTGCACCCTCACTGCTTCATCCTTATCCCACCATAAATCTGGGGCATATGTCATCTATTGTCTCCAAGGGTCGCTTACCTCCAACTAAAAGAGAATTAAGTAAAGAAACACCAAAAAAAAAGGAAAATATCTGAAAACCAAGATGACCCTGTTTATGTGTGCAAACTTGATCATGACTATGCAAATCCTTGTATCACATGTATTGAAAAATCAAAAGAGATTTCAGCACTCAAATCAAAAATCAATGAACTCCAAATTGAGTTAATAAAGCAAAAGAAGCTAAAGCAAAAACCACTTTCCATTACAGACACAGTCTTAAAAAGTAACAAATCTGTAAGATTCCATACTGGTTTGCCTTCGTTAAGTGCTTTTCACACCATCTACAAGGTTATTGAGCCAAAGATAAAGAAAACCAAGTACTGGAGAGGTCCTAAGCATGTGTTCCACACCCTTAAACACAAGGTTTTAAAGAAGTCAGGGCCACGAAGATTTCTGTCATTAAAAGAGGAGATGGCATTGACTCTTATGAAATTAAGATTAGGTCTTTTGAATGAAGACTTAGCTACAAGATTCAACATCAGTGCTCCCCATATCTCAAAAATCTTCACTACATGGATCAAGATTCTATCCAAATTTCTTGGAACCTTGGTGTTCAATCCATCCAAAGAAGTAGTGCGTGAAAATCTACCACCATCCTTCAGAAGCAAAAAATATTCATCTGTGCGCCATATCATTGACTGTACTGAGGTATTTTTAGAGAAACCGCAAAATCTAGAGGTGCAGACAAAAACGTGGTCAGATTATAAACACCATCATACTGCTAAGTTTCTGATCAGCATCAACCCATCCGGGATGATTAATTTTATATCAGACTGCTGGGGAGGTAGAACCAGCGATAAATACATCACAAATAGATCTGGTTTCTACAGTTTGATTGAACCCTATGATGTCATCATGGCTGACAGAGGATTCCAAATCAAAGAAGAGGTTACCCTTCTTCATGCCAATTTGATGGTTCCACCAGGACGTAGAGGAGCTTGCCAAATGTCAGCTGACGAAGTACAGCAAACAAAGCAAATAGCAAACAGGCGTATATATGTTGAGCAAGCCATTCGCAGAATGAAGTATTTCAGAATTCTGAAGCATGAAGTCCCTGCTACTTTATTTCAGCATTTAGATGATATAATTAAAACTGTTGCTGGCATTTGCAACTTGTATCCTCCCTTGCCTAAATACAAATAAATTATTCCAAAATTTTCTTTTATGTATAGCACCTACAAGAACAAGTAAAACATTTTTTCAATTCACAGTAACATTTTTTAATGAATTAAACAACAAACAGACAAACTAACAATGAAATAATATTTAACACTCCCTATGAATAAACAGTTTTTCTCCGTCAATAAATACTCATAATTTACTTGGATGTTGAACATTTCGAACAAAACCACTTATCTTTCTGTTTTAGTACTGTTTGTGTTACATTTACACACTTAAAATGAAACCACAAATTGCATTCATCACAAGCAATGCTTCTGTCACTATAGGATGTAATAGACCCTGTTTCTTTTATGATGTTTCTACACACTGGACAAAAATATCGAGAACTGTTACTTGTACCCACATCAACATCCATAGGTTCTATATTCTCTTGACATTCATTAAGTTTACCTTGTAATAGTTCAGGTACAATGTAATCAGTGAAAAATATAACTAAATTTGGTAACAAAAATTTTGAATATGCATCCTGATCAAATTTGATTCTACATTGTAATGGGCCATTTTTTTGTGTATATATATAAATCACACCAATTGCGACCTGTTATGCCTAGCTGACCCTGAATCTGGGTAAAATATGCATGATTTTTTTTAACACAAAAACCATCATTACAAATTTTTACATATTCTGGAAGATGACAAACACAAAAAGATTTACATTTTTTACACTCCGGTACAAGAGGACACTTAACTTCAAGAAGACCATCTCCACAACATGAACAAGAAACCAGTAAATCTGGTGTAGCACTAAGAAAAATATTTCTCTTGTCTATAAACAGACCACACTTTCTTGATGACACATTGACATGTTGTTTTTTATAAGTATTTAAATAAGAACAGATTGCTAATGGCTCAGTTTCTCTACCATATTTTAAAGATTTGATATTGGGATTAATCTTTGTATAGCACATGATAGACTTGGTAAGTGAAGAACAATCTACTTGTACATCTTTTCTACGACCATCCAGAACAGAGTTCACTTTTGTATATACTTGATAAAATTTAGAAGCAGTTATCCGTCCTTTACGCAAGCGGTGCCAATTTTCATTTTCATGTTGTCCAACAGTAAATTTCTCAATAGTTGAAATTTCATAATCATCAATTTTTGGTAAAAAATTTAAAAATTCATAACAAGTATTTTGAGAACCATAAGACTTTGATATGGTTGATAGATCAAATTTATCAATAACAGAAAGGTCTTCATGGCCTGTATCTTCTTCGTTTAATCCTACGGCTCCCTCTGCTTCCTGAGCTGAAGTTGGAACATCACCAGTCCGAGGTAAACCTTGAAGTAAATAAACAAAACTAATCACAATAAGTCTTTGACTGGTGTAAAATTTATCCACGTCTTGTCAAACTAGATATGTTGTATATTATATGATGTACCAAGCCAACAAACTGGGCAAACCAGGAAACACCTCACGGGAAAGTATCGATAAGCAACATAGTAATGTGCCAGACTACTCAGCGAACATCATTACATGTGAAAACATTTTTACAGTATTTCCATCTTACAAATTTTATAACTATGTTATATAACTTATATAGATTTTTTTTATTAATTAATTAGTAATAATACATTTCAGAATTATACAGTCATGCTAATTGGTTTAAAGGTTGTCAAATGTGAGGAGACAATTTGTGAAGTCTTATTCATGCTCTGCAGGGTGACACCTGTGTTGCCTCCCTTCAAATGACAATAAAATAGCTCAAGTGAGCAATTAGTATGACAACTCTGTTGTCTTCACTAAGTTTAAAATAGGTGTCATAAACAAGATGACTCATATTTATAATTACATAATTAAATTTGTTTACGGATTGGTAAACAATTAATTTTAACAGTGAGGACAAAGTTATCATGGTTATATTGAAGATACTTTGAAAGTATGGAATTTGAGCAGTCGATAGAAGAAAACATGATTTGACTAATGTTTTCTAATCTTATGCTATCTTAATATAAGATTCTTTATAATAATAAAACAATCATGGACTGTTCAGAAGGGGACCATCACTAATTATCAGGTCCGAGTAGGGTTGTTGCCCTTTGGCACAAGGGCTCTCAGGTGTCAACTGTACTCAGACTTATGATATGTCTCAATCCCCTGTTATAAAGAGTCCATAATGTTAGATTAGTTATAATTTACCTTTGAATAAACAGGCCTCGGGGACAACACCACGAAGTGCAATGCTCAAACTGTCAAGTATGGCGGTGTTGGACTCCTCAATTTCAAGAGGGTTGTACTTTTTCTTTTCAGTGGCCACTAGTGGTCTGCTTTTAGCTATAAAATTAAATTATATATATTTACATTTGCAAATGTTTTCCTTTATATAACACTACTGAAGGCAAGCGTTTTTATAACTGTGTAAATACAGGTATGGGGTCAAGAGGTCATAGATGTGCGTTTGGATAAACGTTCGACGTAATTTCTCTGTGACGTCATAAAGGGTCGACGCGCGTTTAGTGGATTACATACATGCCGTTGGGTTTGAAAAATTAACGCATTTTACACGTTAAAAGTAACAATCAGGCAAATATAAAGTATGAATAAGTCACAAATGTAAATATAAGTAATAAGGTATCATTTTTTGAGTTTTATTGAGATGTAAAACGGGTTGGCACATGATCAAATCTTCCATAAAGCCCTTCGGGCTTTATGGGATTTGATCACGTGACCAACCCGTTTTACATCTCAATAAAACTCAAAAAATGATACCTTATTTCTTAAATAAACACAAAATTGATTCATAATCTCTTTCAAAAAAGATATATATTTAGCCTTTCATTAGTGTTTTTGTTGTACATGAAATGAAAAAAAAAACAACTAAAGAAATTTTAAAAAATTTATGTAGCCTATTTCAAGGACACTGTATAATACCCCGGTACTACAGAATATTTAAGTAAACAACAATATGGAAGTATGTTATGAAATCATAGTTTAAATGATATACCATATTTAGCTCGAGAAGATTTCTTCAGGCTGGTACATAAGGCTGATATTTTCTGTGGCTCCAAATCTTTCATCACCTTTGGCTGCACCCAACCACATCTGGCCATAGTACATGATGTCTGCCCAAACTGATTAGCAGCCTCGATGCGAAAAAGTAATGCAGCAACATGGTTGCATGTTTGCCCTAATCTACAATATTGATCAATGTCAAACATATAATTTAAAACATGTATGACACACTTTATCTTATTAAATCAAATTTGACCATTACATAATTAGTCAACTGAAATGTAAATTTTCATACCCTGCAGTACATGTACAGTAGGCTCCCAAAACCTCACCATCCTCTTCCGAAATTGCTGCCCAGCAGTCATGTAAATCATCTCGAATTCGTTGGGAGAGGGTGCACTTTGCTCTTAAGATGCATTTCTTTTCGCTTGTCAAACGGTAATAAAAAACTTCTTGGAGCCAGCCACTTGTAAAATATTCATATGCTTTGCCAACCTTGTAATCTTTGAGAAGTGAATTTGTAAGGGAGACATCTCCATGCTTTAATAAAAACTGAGTAATGTCAGACAAAAATGTCGGTGGCCACTTATCTATTGCACTCTTCTCGTCCATCCATCCTTCGTATGTTTTCAGGGGGTCTTGGATTCCACAAGCAGATAAAATACTTTCATAGCACTTAGCATTATGTTCTAAAATATCACGAGCTGTTGGAATAATAGGTAGATTTAACTTGGAAGCAGAAAAACAAAGAGCTACAAGTTCTTCTTTAGTACCTTCTTTAGACAGACCCCTCTTGGTTAAATAGGCCTTCAAATTTTCCGTTTTCCACGTTTGGAATTCTTGCAGGGTGTAAATCTGATCTCCAGGATCCATAGTGTAAGTCTATATCAAATTGTGTATACGTAAAATGGCTCAAAATACAGTAATTCGATAAATAAACAAGTCGAAATAATACCCGCTCAGTATTGTTTTAGCAATAAGGCCGCTTAGGTTAAAGACTTTACGCCGATTGACCTTTGACACGGGCCGCTTACAACATATTATTGAGGAATGTGAAAGTCGTCTATACACCTGTGAAATACGAAAGCCCTAGTCCCACCCAGAAAAAAAGTTGTGGGCAAGGTTAAGGTTAAGGTGGGCAAGGTTCAAGTTTTTGGCGAACAGACAGTAATTAAGATTGCTACACGGACAGACAAGTAGACAGACAACAAATGATATACCCTTCTTTCCGTGAAAGGGGGGGGGGGGGGGGCAAAAATTTGTTCTTGTTTCCTATGTGATTGGTAGAAGACTAAGAATAATTTGAAAACGATATTGAATGAATCGATTTTATGGAAAATTGACAATTGTAGGCTTCCGTACCTTTACACATGGTCCAAGTTTGAAGACATGATTACATGTTTTCAATGAATTTAAAAGGAAGGAATGTCTTCAGTTTCATTAATTAGAACAACAGACGTTAGACAATTGTGTGTGCAATGGATAGCTTTACGAAAACATAATCTGCGATTCTACTTCACTAAAAGCTTAGGTAAGGTAGGCCTAATACACGTAAAATGTCGATCACTGTCTTTAGATCATGTGCTAATTTGTGCAGAAGAAGTGCTTGTGAAATACATTCAAAGTTTAAACGTTCTATTTTTTAGAATTGTTAAAGCTATATTCAAAATTGATGATTTGTGAACTCAGAACTACCTTCGTAAATAATGTAAACCCAATACGCCAGTTTCGAGATTGTAACTCTCCTACGATAGAGGCGCAAAAAGTATCCATTTCGGCAGGGAGGCGGGACAGGTTGTTTCTGTACACAAACGTGCATAAGTAAATGAACGATATTTATGGCTTTTAAAATTTATTAAATGTTATAAAAAGATAATGATATTAAGCAGTGATGCATTTAATTGATGATTTTATCAAGTTCAACTATGCATATTTACAAATCTACTTTAAATTATAGCGGTAACTGGAAATTCCAGAAGCCCCCCGTTTTTTGGAGAATACCCATACAGGAGGGTAGAAGCCCCAATAAAGTGGTAGAAGCCCCATAAAATTGAATGATTTGGGGTACATAAAACCCTATGGTGATGTTTAAATGACTGATATTGATATCCGTAAACTTTTATAGTCAATCTTACCTCCGAGTCGACAGAAATCGGGCGTCACTTCTTCTATTCTTCATATACCGTACACCACGCCCGATCTAAAATCGCGATCGCTGAAGTCGTTTCGAGTAAATCATTAGCGTAATCTTGATCAAAAGTGAATAATATAATATATGATTTTTATGTTCAAAAAAAATATGAAAGGAAAGTTAAGACTATAAACGAAGCATTAAATATTTACATATTTCCTAAATGAAATAAAATATGAATTATGATTTAATATGAACATATTTCATTGCCTACTTGAATACTTTTATACACACTTGTTTGTACATACCAAAGATAATTTTATATCGAAAATCATTATGGAAAATATGAAAATATTTGTATAGCTGATGATGTGTACTGTTACATAAAAACGTTGTGATTTAACCTGTTGATAGACATTACAGTGAAAATACTAATTGATTGATTTTTTTAATGAATTTAACTAGGCAATTAATCAATTAATAAAGTTCCTTTTTTCTAATTCCAATCATTTATAATATATAATTAAGTTAAAATAATTAATTAATCAAGTTGTTAATTTAATTAATTTCTAAGGTATAATTTTTTTTGTCTTTCTATTTTTTTTTTAAATTTGAAATTCAGTATTCATGCATTCATTATTATTTTCCAGTTACTTAGATTTGTTTTTTATTGGTTCTGTTTTATTTGGGGGAGTTCTTTTTTTTTTAATTATTTTTTTTTTTTGTGTGTGTGTGTGTGCAATAGAAATAATTATATTCATTGATATTAGAAAGCAATATGTATCCATTAGAATGAAATTATTAGAATCCAGGTTTATGAAATGAAAAAGTTTCATAAAAATTAAAAGATGTGCATAATTGCTAAGCACTTGTAAAGTGGGTATTATGAGAATATGGTGAGAATATTATTTAAACATCAGCTAGCTGTGTTGTTTTGTACTGGGATAGAGAGGCACCCCTGTGTGTGTGTGTACATGCACTATATACACAGCTGTTGACACTTGGATCAAGTTGACAATAAACTCCTTTTGTTCAAACACCTGTTCTCAGCTAGTCTGACCAACCCCCCTCTGGCAGGGCATGTGTATATACACTGATCATTGTTCTTGACTTTCATTATTGAATTGTAAAATAAATGATTTTGTAATATGATCTTCTTTTTAAAACCTGGTGATATGTTTTAAATATAAATTTCATTTTAAGGACGTTAGCACACACATAAGGAAAATATGAATTTTGATAATTTTGATACTAATAATAATGATAAATTAATAAAGACCTTTTCAATTAGTACCTGAATAATATTCATAGTTTCCCTATGTTCCCAGCTCTAGCCACGTGGAGGCCTCCTTAATTGTAGAGCCATGATTTGAACTTTGAAACAAAAATATTAAAGCCAAAGGACCGAAAGATGACCGAAAGATAAAAAGAAAATTAAAAACTTTAAAAAAAAAACACACTTTATCATTATTCCTAGTCAATCTTTTGTTCATGTAAAAACATAATTACAGCCAAATGAAAGTAATTGACAATAAATTAATAATTATAAAAAAAATTAATAGAAAGGAATTTATAATTCAATTAGCAACATTTATAAAAAAAATTATGTTCCTAACCTAACTTAACCTAACACAACACCAAACAGTATTCACTGGTCAGCACCCGTCTGGCGGGGGAGGAATACTGCCTGATACTAACCCTATTCTAAGTTCTAACCTAACACAACACCAAACAGTATTCACTGGTCAGCACCCATCTGGCGGGGGAGGAATACTGCCTGATACTAACCCTATGCTAAGTTCTAACCTAACACAACACCAAACAGTATTCACTGGTCTGCACCCGTCTGGCGGGGGAGGAATACTGCCTGATACTAACCCTATGCTAAGTTCTAACCTAACACAACACCAAACAGTATTCACTGGTCTGCACCCGTCTGGTGGGGGAGGAATACTGCCTGATCCTAACCCTATTCTAAGTTCTAACCTAACACAACACCAAACAGTATTCACTGGTCTGCACCCGTCTGGCGGGGGAGGAATACTGCCTGATACTAACCCTATGCTAAGTTCTAACCTAACACAACACCAAACAGTATTCACTGGTCTGCACCCGTCTGGCGGGGGGGGGGGGGGGGGGGAAATACTGCCTGATACTAACCCTACTCTAGAAAAAATAATAATTATACAATTTTAAAAACATTTTTGGGTTCCTGGTTTAAAACTGACTGATTATTGGCCTTTGATCTACTGTATTTTAGATTTTTTGAAAGTTGTAGTCCTGTCCACTTTTTTACGTTTTTGTTGTCCAATCTTTTTACCTAAGGTACGTGGTCTAACTATAGTGGTAGTACCGTCAGTTGATGTAAGCGTCGTTTTATCTGGCGGAATAAAAAGTTTGAATCTTTTGTACAACCTATCGCGTTCGTCCGTCGTTTTGGTCACCCACACTGATTTTGAAACTCTGAAATGTTCATGTGTGTCTACTAGTTTTAATTGTCCTACGCCAACAAGTGATTTTCTAAGGTCTTTAATTGAACATTCAAAATAAACGCATTTGACACCACAGACTCTTGTATTTCATATGAGTTTTGTTCTTCCTCTACTCTCTCAACTGTTCTCCTGACAACAGTGACAACACATGTTTCTTTTTTCAAATTTATTAAATCAACAGACAAAACATCACACAATTACAATTTACGATTTGACAAAAATGGACAATGGAAGTAAATGGCCACATTGTGTTAACCCAGGGTCCGAGGGGATATCCAGTATACCAACCTAGCAAGTATAACGGGCAAACTGGTGGCCTGGCTTTGAGCGCCAGTACCAAAATCCCAAACTATGAAAATACCACCCATTTGGGATTGGAAGAGTTTTCAAAATATCCGTTTACCCCGTTTCCCAGTGATTGCACCTGGTTGTTAGTACTATACCATGTACTCCAGGACTGAGCCTCCCCTCCTGTGTATAGAGGTGGAGTGGGCACCAAGACTGTTGAACTTGAGTGACCCCAATCTATAACTTTCCAAACACATACATATGTAAATTTTGCTTTTTACAAACCACCCTCTGTCTTAAATGGCAGATGGGGGGAAACCACAAGGCCAGATAATTTGAAAACTTCCCAATTATATCCCCGCAGACCCGCCCCCCTAACACAATGCGACGAATGAAGAGATTAAGGGTAAAACTTTAATAAAAAGTTCCTGAAGTCTATAATTCACAGTTAAAGTCATGTATATCCCTCAATAAGCCATCTGCTTAGGGAAGCGCCCACGATCCATTGTATCACACACGGCTTGGACTGCTCCTATTGAAGGTGAAGTCTGTTGTTTCTGAAAAATAAAATTCTTACGGCAGATTATTGAATTTAAGGGTATTTTGAAATTATATCTATATTACCCATATTTATCTATATATTGCTTTATAGGGAAGGGTGGGAGGGGAAAATTTTGTTTTGCAGGTCCTCCTCAATTTTACCAACAACGGAAACGGAAGTTGATTGTATTAGATAAGTCGTACCAAGTAATGTTGCGACCAAATTAACTCGTACTTAGTATAAGCATATCAACAACAATAGACTTTTCGTCAATTAAATGAGATTATTTAATATGTTAATAAAATAATCTGTCTTAATTGAACATTCAAAATAAACGCATTTGACACCACAGACTCTTGTATTTCATATGAGTTTTGTTCTTCCTCTACTCTCTCAACTGTTCTCCTGACAACAGTGACAACACATGTTTCTTTTTTCAAATTTATTAAATCAACAGACAAAACATCACACAATTACAATTTACGATTTGACAAAAATGGACAATGGAAGTAAATGGCCACATTGTGTTAACCCAGGGTCCGAGGGGATATCCAGTATACCAACCTAGCAAGTATAACGGGCAAACTGGTGGCCTGGCTTTGAGCGCCAGTACCAAAATCCCAAACTATGAAAATACCACCCATTTGGGATTGGAAGAGTTTTCAAAATATCCGTTTACCCCGTTTCCCAGTGATTGCACCTGGTTGTTAGTACTATACCATGTACTCCAGGACTGAGCCTCCCCTCCTGTGTATAGAGGTGGAGTGGGCACCAAGACTGTTGAACTTGAGTGACCCCAATCTATAACTTTCCAAACACATACATATGTAAATTTTGCTTTTTACAAACCACCCTCTGTCTTAAATGGCAGATGGGGGGAAACCACAAGGCCAGATAATTTGAAAACTTCCCAATTATATCCCCCCAGACCCGCCACATACATTGATATAATGTTCCTCCATACCCCATGCCAACAAAAACCACCCATCATTTACTCATTAATTATTTTAAGCACACCCGACCTAAGGTTATTTAACATCAGCTGATTGCCCTCATCAGAGAGGTGTGTCCCGTCGTAACGGAACAGACCTATGTTGTTGACCGATATATTATCATGCAGAATAAAACTACCCCCCAATTCTGTAATGAACTTGTTGACCTGCTTGTTTATTTTCCTGCGTTTTTTGTCAATCTTGTGGCCACTTTTTAAAGGTGCACCATGCCAATATAAGCGAGGAAGAATAGAAGACCATACTAATTTTGTTTTTGGTAAAAGTGCATTGTATCGAAGTAAGCTACATGTTATTTCTTCCACAAACTTTTTACTTGTTAAACCTTCTGTAACAAGGTCATTTGACCCTAAATGGATAATGAGGATATTTGGCGGTGCATGGTGTTTGAGGAGTCTCATGACCTCTGGATCTAATTGGTGCCACTGCATCCCTCTTTTAGCATGCCATAGGATGTTAACCGGTAAGTCCAGATCTTTTCCGAGGCGAGTCGATCTGGCAAACTGTCCAGCCCAATAAGGTATGGAAGATCCAAGTATCCATATCTGTGTTGGGGAACCTACAATTCTTGGGTTGGGTTAGTGTAATCTTGCAAAAATTTGAATGTTATACTTTTTGAAAAATTATTTTACAGTTCTACTGATTTTGAATCCTAATATACTTTAGAAAAACAGGTGATCTCCACCTGCCTGCTTTCTGAATGGCATCGTAAGAAACCCCCTGTAGTGCCATATCGGTAGCCCGCCCAATCCTGAAACTGTGTGTGCCAAAGTATCCTTGTGTTCCCGAAATTTTGAGAGCTTTTTGTAATACTGCATTAAACTGAAACCTAGTAAGAGGTGCCGTGTCACTGTGAACTAAGAAAATATGAGATGCAGGTGTGGTTGGTCTGACTTTTAAAAATTCCCTAATGCATCTAACTGGACATATCGGAGAATGTGGTTGACCCTGAAGAATGAGAGTTTGTCCGCTTGTTTGTTGAGATTTTGAATGTGGGATTGTTATTCGAACTTCATTGGTGCGATGCTTAACTTCGATTCCTTGAAACTGAATAAAATGTGAGTTAGTGTTGCAACCTGTGGCCGTGCATTCCCCTACTCTGAGTAATGCAGTATATGCCAAACTAAAAGCACATGTAAACAGCTTAACTTCATATGGTGGACAAATTGTTGGTAGTGAAGCTATGATGTGGCGCAAGATTGAAAAAGTAATAGGACAACGCAAGTCCGGTGTTGTACCCCTAGTGCGCTTTAGACCCTGTAATGCTTTTCTGACAAGAAAATTGTTTGATGGGTCCTGGAGCCCTCGAATTTTATGAAAAAAGGCAACTGCACTTACGTACGATTGTACAGTGCTAGCGGCATGCTCATGGATTGACAAATAAGCTATAAAATTAAGTAAAACAGGTGTTGTTATGGGCCAAGTTACAACTAATTGATTATAATGAATTTTGACAAAATTTTGGAATTTTTCGAGAGCAGTTTGGTAAGTCTTGTGTGTGCTAGGAGCTAGGGAATTGTAAATTAACTTTCTGGATTCTGTGGTTAGATCTGCCAAATCTGGACGGGTATTGGAGTTGGCCAAGCGTCTGCGTCCGGCGCCAGATCCCTGAATCTCCCCCACAATTTCCTGATTAGTAGCTTCCTCAAGGGGCTGAACGTCAAGCTGACTCTGACTCTGACTATGACTCTGACTGGCCACATTAATGATGGCCCCCGTTGGTGTTTGGCTGTCGTCAACGTTCAGATCGCCATGTGGTCGAGTGGTCTGCGACATCTCGCCCTCTCGCCTCCGTCTTCTCCCCCTGCCCCTGGACGGTGTCACAAAACTCCTTGCATACTCCTTCCTCCCTCTAGTCGATGTACGTGTGCGTACGGGTGGCATTTTTTAGGAAAGCACCTCGGATGGCAGCAGATAATTATTGTGATAGAAAATTTTGTTTTGCAGGTCCTCCTCAATTTTACCAACAACGGAAACGGAAGTTGATTGTATTAGATAAGTCGTACCAAGTAATGTTGCGACCAAATTAACTCGTACTTAGTATAAGTATATCAACAACAAGACTTTTCGTCAATTAAATGAGATTATTTAATATGTTAATAAAATAATCTGTCTTAAATTGTGATTCTATAAGTGTTGTCAGTATATTAACCAAATCAAGGAGTGGTTTTGATTTCCAATCAATTGCTTGTTTTAAGACATGATTTAATGACTCAGAATTATTATTTGTCCACGGTTTATCAACAATGTCATGCCTGATGGGGTTGTTGACTTTTTCTTTGAGATTTGGTTGAATTTTTTTGAAATATTTTAGAAATTTTCCTGAAAGGTCCTTTGATAGGTCTTCTATTTGCTCCGAAATGTGATCAAAACAAATACTGTCGTCAGAATTTATCAACCCGTCATCACTGAAAATGAGGTCCAATATTTTTTGTCTGTCTGCCTTGTCTACACTATCATCAACAAGTTTTTGTTTTGTATTTTGATAAAGATGTCTCTTACACAAAAGATGGTTTGATTCAGGAAAACATTCAGTAATTGCTTTTACTAGTGCCTTTTCTTCATCTGACCCAAAGATTAATTTTGACTTATCAGTGTCTGAAAGTTTTGTCCTCAAATGAAAGAAGAAATTACTGTATGACTCAAAGTCACTATTGTCATGAATAAATAAAGGTCCAAGAAAGATTGGGGGTTCTTTTGTTTTGTCTTTTGTTACTCTGTTCATCTCCTCCCTCTCCTCCTCCTCGCACTGCTTCTCCTCCCTCTCCTCCTCCTCGCTCAGCATCTCCTCCTCCTGTCACAGCATCTATTAAACATCCAACTGCAAGCTCCTCTCCTGTTCCAAATCCAACTCCCAGCTCTCCCATCTACTTCAAGGGAGAGCACCATATCCTCTCAAACTTCTATCCATGTGTTCTAATGTACCAGGGTCTTATATTTCAGAGTTCGGAACATTTGTATCAGTACTTAAAAGCTGTCGAGCACTCTGACCCCTATTTGGCAAACCAAATTCAAAACGCTCCGACAGCTAAAATAAGTAAACAAATTTCAAAACTTGTAAATACCACCTCTCATTGGCATTCAATCAAAAACAAAATTATGCTAAAAGTTTTGGCTATTAAATTCAACCAATGTGCTGAGTTCAAAAAATACCTTCTTAGCACAAACAAAAGGGTACTGATGCATAATGTTGCGGACTCATATTGGGGCACTGGTTGCAATGGCAAAGGTAAAAATATTCAATATAATCTCGAAACTTGCGTATTATGGCGGGCACTTAATGCGCTAATTGCGCTTTTTACTCATAAAAGCCACATTTTGTGAAGATGCATCCCTTTGCGGGGTAGGGAAAATAGTTCTCTTTTTTTATGCCACCAAAACTTTGGAAAGTGCTTGCGATAAATTTTGTGTATTTCATTTTTAAAGCTTTTTAATTAAAATTTTTAAAAAATTAAAGCAATAACAATTATCATTTACTTACAAAACTTGAAAAGTATTACCGATACAACTCTGTAATAAAACAGTTAACATTTCTTATGTCATACTGGGCACAAAAAGTCGATGTCGGACCGCTGAAGAAAACACAGGACCTGTCGATGAGATAATTTGAACAGTAATTATCGATAAATTTATTCTACAAAATCAACAAATGAAGTACAACCCGAAAGGGGATTTTCAAATCAACTCGACATATCCATGGTATTCGAGATACCGAATTTCAACTGAATATCATTAATAATTGAAATATCTTTTGTAGAAATTTTGCGCGAATCAAATGAATTCAGAACATTTTTGCATTTTCATTCCTATGTGTTTCATTTATTCCTATTGTATATGAAATCGAGATACTTGCAAAAGATACGACAGAGTCTGGCACTTGTTTCATATTCATTTAAAAAGCAGTATACCACAATCACCTGTATTTAGAGTAATCTTTCTGTTGATTAGATATATTAATTACTTTTTGCCCTGCTCCCAATGTGTATTGTTTCATGGACTTTTTTGCTTGATTATTGTTCGTTATATCTCTCCATATGTATCATGAGCTAGAGCATGCTTTACGTTCACACAACTACTGTTCAAAACGAGGCATGGAGCTGATAAAGAAGTTGATTAAACAAGGATATCAGCTGTCTTGTTTAAAGTGAACATTTTACAAATGCTATGTCAATATAGTGACCTTGTGAGCAAATGCAATTTATCGTTAGTGGAATGTTGATCGATAATTTTCATACAAATTATTAAGTAATTATTTTCACACCGTTTTGTCTGTGTTTTTTTTCCGTTTATCCGATCATGACATGGGTCACATGGCTTTTTTGTAGACTATATTTAGAATTTTGCAGGTGAAATAAAGCCGATCGGATATATGAGTTCCTTATTCTGCCACAAGAGAGGGACCCCGCGCCAGCCCACGATCTGTCACCACGCACGAGGCGTACTGACACTGGACCATCATGAGGTCAACAATCCCCAGTATATGTTAGAAGGTCTGGATAAATTCTCTCATGTCTGGTATGTTCATCCTTTAATTTTTTTACAAAACATAGTAATTGTTAAGATCTTTCTCGATTAAAGGCTGTGTCTTAGCATTCGAACACGCGATCGATGACACTTTTAAATATGCAGTCAGTGTAAATCTTCGTAAACGGTTTTTTTATGGCGTTGGGCTTGCCCGATCGGCATCTAGGGATCAGTCAGGTTTACGCGACCGCACGTGTCAGTGGATGCATCCGCAATAGAAAATAGCAACAGCTGTAAACCAATTTCTTTTAAAACGTTCACTATGAATAATAGCTTGAATATAAAATCAAATCAATTGTATTTTCAATTAATACTACTACAAAACAACGATATTATGTTTAATTTTTACGCAAGAAAAACGTTATGGTTGTTGCGGATGAATTTCTACTGAGAGGGTGCGTCGAATGACATGAATCACATTTAGGGACCGATTACTATAACACAAATAATCTTAAATACGGTAAAATAATTACAAAATAAACACGAATACAACACGACTATAAAGATTGAATTTCTTAATCTTAGCTTTACTTTTACGATCTTCAATCCAATTTTAGCCGAACAACTCACGATATTGACCAGTAATGCCAGTATTACTGTATTTATCCATTTCCTCCATTTGTTTACCGCGCCCTATCGTAAGTCGATCGTACTTGTAACATTAGAGTCATGGATGTAGTTAAGATGAAATCACTATACAACAGAACAACACTCTGAAAATGGCAATTAATTAAAATAATTTATGAAACCCTTCGTATGTCTTCGATTGACTGAAAAGAAATTAGATTGATATAGAGGATGGACATTTCTGACGATGTCTGGTCAATTCGAACCCTGACTCATTCGGACCAGGACACAACGTTATCAGGCCCTATACTGTATTTGTGTTAAGACTGTTTTTTTTAAAATTTTATTATTATGTTACCGGAGTCACTCACTTGACCTATTTGCAGATCTTTAAAAATTGTTTTTCTTGTTCGACGCCATTGAAGCCTTTCAGGCTTTTGATTTTAATATTTAAAACCCTACTTGTGATTTTCTGGATGCAGTTTGGATTTTATTATGATTAGGGCAGTGATAGAGAAAAATCACTTTAATTACTGTAAATTCAAACCAGTAGTGCTGCAGGTCTATTGAGGTCTATTCCGGGTTTTTCACTGTAAAATTATCTTGTATCAATAGGTCGATAATTAAAGAAGATTTCATTTTTTTAAATTACAGGTTAATATTTATATTCCATAAGAACGAAAAAGAATTTGTCCGTTCTAAGGTTAGCCCTCCAAGGTTACATGGCAGAAAGGTCGGATTGTTCTCAACCAGATCACCACATCGACCTAATCCAATAGGACTATCGCTAGCCAAACTTGATTGCGTTCAAGGTATAATGCAGGGAACTCTATTTAAGACATTTTTATTTGTGTATTTTCTTTTGAAATGAAAAAAGCATAGAATGATACTGTATACGAGTACTTAGTCTTGTATAAGCGGAATTAATATTCAAAGGCCCCTGTTCAGGTTCATTTGAAACCGTCTTTAGTGCGCTAAATCATAATCATCGATATCGATAAAATATGAAATAAAACATTCACGTTTGCACCAATTAATCAACTGTCAATGGGTGTCCTTTTAAAAAATGATAATACATGAAAGTAAACTTAAAACATATACAGACTGCACGTTTGTATAATTATATTATTTTACAGACAGAACTCTGTATCTGAATGGAGTCGATCTATTAGATGGTACCCCGATACTGGACATCAAGCCTTTTATTCCTGAGTACGATACCCCGCAGTCTTTGTTAGATAATTCTGATGTGAAAGAAATAGAAAGAAGACAGTCATATTTAAATAATAACATTTATCCAAAAAATATTCACAATGAGAAGGGATTAAATCCTCGTTCGACTTCCAATACAAAATGCAAAGACAAAAACATATCTCGGGAGAGTTGTATTGAAGGTTGTCTATGTGAGGAGGAATGGGAAAATACCTCACCAAAAGGTGTTTGTGTCAGAACTCCTAATTGGATAGATCAGCCATCTTCTCCGAAACTCCAAGTTTCTTTTACTGATAGAGCTGTACATCAATTGAATATGTTTTCGCGGGAATCAGATGACCCAGATTTTACTTTAAAATTCCTTCGAACTTCCACAGAAGCCATGGAAACAACTGCTTCTATACTCAGCGAGGATCCGCGCCCAGTTCACGTTCGAAACCAAGAAAAGGAGGATTTTTATTATTTCACTGTTGACACAATGCACGTCACCTGTTGGTTTTATGATGGCGTCGCAGAAGTCTTTCGAATATTACCTATATCCCGTGGCAAGCATTTGATATAGGCACATTAAACATAAATGTTTATTTTACCAATTGTTGTTTTTTTCTCTGCTAATTACACTTTTGATCCGTTGTAAGGGTAGCCTTTTCATCAGAATTTTCAAGGTTTGGGTAAGAATTTTTATTTTTGTTTTGAAGCATTAAGTCGTTTTCGTGTTCGATACCAATTTCTTTCTCGATAACAGGAAAGCAACGGAAAATGTCAAACTTTTTTGAAAGGTAATGACGTGTAAAAAGGAAATGAGTGACGTAAGATGTCAGAATTATTGCTCCCAAGGAACAAAGCATAGCGACGACTTTGAAAGGGAATTTTTGTTGATTGTGTTTTACATCATAAAACGGATACTTAATAACAGCATCGATTCCAAGCACTTGTTCTCCCCCGAGGACTCTTAGTAATAAACCGACGATAAGCCCCACCAGGCTTCCGTAGGTGTTTCCAACCTCCAACCACAGGGCACAAATCAGCTGTGGGAATTGTGACACCGCCATAAGGTCTCCACATAATATCAGTAAGCCGTATACACTCTGTACTGTTAAAGCGAAAACAGTTCCCAGAATGCCAACAATGACTACGCAAATACGGAACACCCAAACAACCTCCCTGTCTGATGCCTGAAACCAGAGCAATATTAATGTTACTTTTAAAATATAAGTAGGATATAACAATTTATACATACGATTATATTAAATTTAAGAATTTAAAAAATATAATGGTTTAAGCATAAATTATTATAGGTGCATGGAAGTGATATATTAGTTCTGACCCACTTAAAAGAGGACGATATTATTCTGGGATTATTCCTCATTCTTTCCATATAATTCTATCTGTATCGAACACTTTCATCTGAGGACAAAAGATCAGTTTCCTTTTAGTTAATGCAATGAACTTAAGATATTGACTATAACCATAGACCTAAGGTGAACAGATCTATGCGATAACTAAAGAAACCTTTCGATCGTTTAAAGGTAAAAATCACAGACTTTTTATAATTATAATATTACATGTATTATTTCTCAAGTAACTACTTCTGTCCTTTAAGGAGGGGAATGGCTTGAATTTAATTTAGCTTTTTATATCTCGATTACATGTTCACTCACATTAGGTCTCAGAATGTTCTGGTAAATGTTTCTCGCCACTACACTGCCAACTGCCAAAATAATGGAATCTGCAGACGACATGACAGCAGCACTGAGTGCACCAAGGGCAATAACTGCTACCGCTGTGGGACAAAGATGCTGAAGAACCATGGGAAGAATGGACTCCCAGTCTGTGCCACTTAGTGGGAGATTACCTTCATAGCTCGTGGAATTCCAATCTGTTGAGATTTTTTTACTTAATAAAAGATATTCAGCATTTTTGTTCTACTACTAGAGTACTCCCGTATGTTTGGAAAATATTATATATGAAGACAAATAGAAAAAAAATATTATTTCACATGTACGTACTTCATTTTCGAGGATTCAATGCTCATCTGAAGCTTTGTCTTAATTAATACATGTTTGAAATAGAAATTTATACTTTTCCATAATATTATAAGAATATGACGTCATTATTACTCTACCTGCCGAGGCACCTGCAAGTCCCAAGAAAGCCGGTGGGAGAAACAGAAGCATGGAATAGATGATGGAGACTAAGGTGGCGTTCCGGGCCAAAGATGGCGAATTACAGGCCAAGACACGCTGGTAATATGACTGTATAAAAATTGAAAGGTATTTCTATCATGTTCTTGTTTGTTATTGCCTCTTTTAAAGAAGTGTTACAAATTTCCAAAAAGGTCGTAAAAGCTGTGGGAAATCAAAGTTACCTTGAATTGGTACAAATATATTTTGAATTTCTTAAAATCGCTTGAGATCACAATTACTTCCAAAAAATTACTAAAAAGAAATATTTCAGGCAACCTCTTTATTCAAACAAGATGAATTTTGCAGCCTATGATGAGTTAATTAAAAAAGACTATACCTGCCATGGGATTCCACCAAATACAACGACAGCAAAAGTATCGATGTAGTTTCCTATGTGTTCTATGGGCACAGTTCCTAGCCATTTGCCCTCAACTCTAGACAGGTCTACGGAGTCGTTCGTGAATACGAAAGGCAAAGCTATTGTCTACATGTGAATAATGATGATTTTAAATAATTATTTATATTCAATAAAAGTCAATAAATTTTCTGTTAAATATTTTTTAAAAAAGACTCCTTATATGTACATGCATTCATTTCTCTATATTCTAACTAGCGTCCGAAGTACAGGTCAAGTGTTAATTTGACTTACATGTACATACTATACTTGTATATAAAACATGTCATGTGTTTATTACATTACAGACAGCTTATATATTATATAAAACTAGCCAATGGGTTTTCATGCCCCTGTAATTGAAGATTTGGGAGTATATAGATTTGACGATAACTTTTGAGTGGGTGGAGCAATGGATTTCATATATTCCTTTTATATTCTTTATATATGATGATACCTTTCTTTGGGTTTCGCCAAATTTGACCTCTTTACCTTGAAGTTTGGCCCCTTTTACCAAAATTTTTCACATCTTAATCTTAGCCATAACTTTTAAAAAGTTGGTGCTCTTGCTTTTCATACTTCACATGTATATTCATTGTGACAAGGCCTTAATTTCAATGGATATAAATATTTTTGACCTTAGATGTTGACCCACTTTTAACAAAACTTGAACCTTGACCGTAACTTTTGAACAGTTAAAAATAGGACTTTCATATTTCACGGTACATTCCTTATGGCAAGACCTTCCTTTGGATACCAACAATTTTAACCTTAACCTTTGGAGTTTGACATGCATTTGAGAGACTTCAACCCTTGCAATAATCTGCTATTCAGGGGTTTCAGTGTTTCACAAACATAAATCTTTTTCCCCTCTTGTTAAAAATATGATACCTATACTAAATTTGTTAGTTACATATTTCTTGTACACTTTAAGTATATTATAATTTGACTTGCCAAACCAACTCCAATGAAAATGAGCTGAATCACGTCCGTGTATGCGACAGAATAGAGTCCACCGAAGAAAGTATAGACCACGGCTACACAAGCAGACGATATTACAGCCACGTTCATATCAAGTCCGATAATCGACTTTAAAGAGGCTCCTGGAAAGAAAAACAAATATTGTGTATATTTTATAGTTGGTCTGGTATTTAAAGGGCTTCCCCCGAGAAAGATGAATACCATGCGCTTAGCGTAAAGGGGGTGCGGTGGGGGGCTACAGCAATAACTTTTTAGCAAAGAGACAGACAGCAACGAGATTCTCCAACAAACATGAAACTAAATTTATTAAATAAATCATTAAAGAACCACCCTGATCGAAGTAGTTCGAAATACGGAAAAGGGGTGAGGGTAATTTTTATTTAATTCGTGTAAAATTGTTCTCAATTTACATATAAACGTTTGTCAAATTAGATGTGAATTCTCTTGTACGGTACATGTAAATGGTCTAAATTTTGGAGCAAGGAAATTAATTTATGAGAACGTTCTAGCCCCATCCAATACACTCCATAATATATCACATAACATTGAAAAGAATCTAACAATTTTTAAAATGAGGCAATTACGGAGGTTTTAAAGGTTGTTAACAGAATAGTTGACTGGTGGCATCATGTGAAATTTAATCTATTTGATGTCTAGTGAGAATTTTCTGATTCAAGAAATTATGGAAATTTATAATGGTTGAAACCTAATGCTCCAAGTATAGCGGCCTCCCAGAAAATGTTTGCAAAAAGTTCGTTGAAGAACAAAACGGCTCCCATCCTTTTGCCGAATTTGATCTGGAAAAGATCAAAGATGGTGGTGTAATTCCCCCGTCGAACTTTCGGTGCAAAAACCACTCCGGCTGCAAAACACAAACAGCGAATCGAGTCATATTTGCGAGTTTTTAAATTGAATCAAGAATACGTGAAAAAGCCACCATATATATATATCAAAATTGAAAAAAAAAAAACTTTAGGATCATATACGTTTAATTAGCAATATTGTAAAAAAAAAAAAAAAAAAGAAAAGAAAACCATTTAAAAACGCTTTTACTCAAAAAAAAAAAAAAGAAGAGGAAAAAAACAAGCTATCCTAATCTTCCATTAATTACGAATTACCTATGGCTATTCCGATGTTGTATCCAATGGGCGCCACAGTGTTCACCAATCCCCTTGTTGCGATTTCTGAGGCTGTTCCACTAATATAAGCGCCACCTACCATCGTAGCTAAAATAAAGAATTATTATTCACCATTGGTGCTTACAATTATTTTTTTTTTCGATCAAATATTTCTGGTTTAATTCCCTCCCCCAAACCATTTTAATAATATTCACACGGATATATCTGTGAAGAGACTGTAACTCTAGTGCATGATTTGGTCCTTATTCCAAGAATTGACCTCATTGACCCCGTAAAAGGAGTGTAAGTGGATTCTTAATGTTATAACAAATAAATGCAGTCCCTTCTCCATTGGAGTTATAAATTACCAATTAGTTAAGAATTATGATGTTGCATAAAATACAAATCAATTATGATATTAAATGCAATACAAATCAATTTTTTCAAAAGTAGGTTAATGGTTAAGATTGTTTGTATCCAAAGGATGTGAAATACAAAAGCCTTTGTACCAATTGTTCAGAAGTTATGGCCAAGGTTAACGTTTTTTAGTAGTAGGTCAAACTTTAAGGTCAAGGTCAAATGGTAAAATGCCAAGAGCAATGAAAGGTCTTGTCACAATGAATAAGTAAAAGATTTGAAGTATGAAGCCCTAGTACTAACAGTTACAAGTTATGACCAAGATTAAAGTTTGGTAAATTGTTGCAAAAGTGGGTCAACATCCAAGGTCAAGAGGTCAAATTTGTTGGTACAACTGTAATCCAAAATGGGCCCCGTCACAAGAAATACGCAAATTACATATCAAAGCCATAGCTTTAACCAATCAAGTTCAAAGTTTTTGTGGACAGACAGGACAGCGGAAAATATTATACGGGGGCATAAAAAACAAATAGATACATGTCCATCAGATACGAATACCCAACCCTAGGTTCATAGATAATGTTTTAATGAAATATTAGTGTTTGAATTTTGGTGAAGATATCGTGATTAGTTTCTTTTATATTGAGTTTTTAACACGTTCATCGTCAAGTGAAATTAATTAATAAAAGAAATATTTGTAGTGTCAAAATTTACAAGTACATGTACTAGCGATGTTTCTTCTTGAATTTTAAATCGTTTTCTGGTACTTCATTAAATATTCTTTTTTCTCACCTTCCTCTGCAGTGAACAATTTCAGCTTGAGCGCGTCTCAAGATACTAAGCTATTTGATATTTTAATGATATTGGTTGGGTTGAAATATTTCTTTTTTCATACATAAAAGGAGGTTTTCTGTTTTCTTATTAACAAAGGATATGCAAACCCAATTTTGATGCACATAAAATCGTCTGCATTTTCAAAAATTCTTGTGCATCTTACGCCAAATTATCACGACCGATTTTGCTATCTTTATTATATAAAAAAAATACTGTTCATTTGGCGAAGACTTACCAGAGAGCGTAAAGCTGCTGACAAAAAGTCCTAAGTCCCTGTTGGCAAGAAATTGAGAATCTGAACTCGTCGATTTTTTCCTTCCAGCGATCAGTCCAATGACCAGAATGACGATATAGAAGACGATAGTACCAATGAGACCGGCGATGAACACTGCCATGTTTATTTTGATAAAAGAGTTTTACTTCTGCTCTGCGGGCAACTTGATGCAGAACTGTCGTCTGCCTTTCGACCTCATTTTACCTAGCGATTTTTTTTTATCAACCTTTGCTAGGTGTAATGTAATACATAGGATTAGGCTGTTTGTTGTACACTCCATCGGGTGATTTTGGACTTGTAAATCTAAATGCCTTTTGTTAACCTGTTATCATAAGATAAGAGACTGGGACAATGCGGACAATGCCCTTGTCATTTCTGTCCACAAGTTACAAAATTCTTAACGACATGCATGAGTAGACGAAAATGATACTTGGGGCCGTTTTGTCAACCTTTGACCTTCTGGTCAGCTTATTTGTAAAATAGTTCCTAGATTCATGTCCAACTAATGAACAAACACTTTGTTTACTGTATACTTCAAATGAGGACCAGTTTTGTGTATTACTGCAAGTTCCAACAAAAACAAAACTCCTCTCCTGCCCCCCTCCCCCTCCCCCTAGTTTCATAAGATTGAAAACACCTGCTGAATAAAACATAAAAAGATGTGCAGCTTTAAATATATTTATTCTTAGTAACAGAAAGTGTACGTAAATCTTTTACAGGTTTTAACCCACAAAACAACAACAATTACATGCAGCTACTGATGACTGACTAAAACTCATTTAAATTTTCCCGTCATTTGTACTAGGCATGTTTCATTTACAATATATTCCTACTGGAATGTGGTTGGATTGACATTATTTTAGTTCATTAACATAATTCTAGAGAAATCTGAAAACTTTCAATGGACACAAATATAATTTTTAAACAAACTACATAGCACTTACTAGTGACTTGGGTAAAATTCAGAGAATGTGTCATTTAAACACCAAGTAGCCATAGAGACTGTACATAAAAATTTTTAAACACATTCCAAGTCATAATTTCTACACAAACACACATTTTATTTCTTTAAACATGTCTTTAGGGGAAAGTGACTAATCAAAATTAGTGCAAAATTAAAAAGTTTTAAAGTGATCATAAATCAGTGAAATTCAATGATAGTATTTTGTGACCAATAAACAACAATTGTTAAATCAATTAAATATGTCAGTAATGCATACTAGTAAACTCAATCTCTGTATGAATCAAATGTAACATTGCTTTGTTTTGTGGAGTAAGAAAATAGAAATGAAAAAGTTGTACAACAAAGAAGAGAAGTGACAAAAAAAGGAAAAGAAATATCATTAACAAAGTATAACAAATATATGTGTTATGTACAGAATCTTGATGATATGATTGTTGAAGTTTTCCCTGCACAACGAGAGCTGGGAGAAAACAATAACACAGGCAAAGATCTACCAAACCCAATCAGAATGGCAAACACAGATACACAGTAACATCTTATTATCCAAATTTTGTTGAATCACAATCATGAATCAGATTATTTATATTTGACAAATTGTTTGGCAATTATTGGGGCTTCATAATTTGAATAACATACATCATGAAAAGAAGCTTGCCTTTTTAAACTATAAACTTCATATAAGCAAAATGCTTTTTATTATATAATATCTTTATCCTATAAACATGGAATTGATAAAATATGACTAAGAGAAACAATTATTTCTCCAATATGTTGAGTGCACACTTTCTTGACTATGCTACGACTTAATACCCACCCACAAAATATACATGTACCATTAGCTATAGCGTAAACTGTTAATGTAGATAACCCCTACCTAAGCATTCATCAATCACTCAAGTGTTTTCCAGGAACTAGAACCAACATATACATACAAATTGTTAAATTACAATTGGACTTCTCTATCATTTTTACAAACCAATGAATTTGTAGGGGAATGAAGCACTGTATTGCTTACATAAGCTGGCAAAAACATAGATATGCACACCTCTATTTTACACAAATATTTATATAAAATCAAACTGACAATTTGAATGAAGTCATTTTCTGTTGAATGATGCAGATAAAGCAATCTTGATATTACACATTTTTACATCAATGGTCATTTGCTTGAAATGGAATTCCTTTAATCAAAATACCCAATCATGACAATATCAGTGAAATTATTCATCTGTGCTGGAATTCTTTTTAAACAAGAGATGTTTGTAAAACACTTATGCCCCCCTCCCCCCAAATTTGAATTTTTTTGTAAGTCCAAGGGGGCATAACTCTGTCAAAAATGGCACGATTGTATCCAAAACAAAACTTGACCTAGATATTCATCTGATTAATCTGTATATTAAATTTCATCTCAGTATGTGCAACGGTTGCAAAGAAAATGAACGGAAACTGCAAATAATTGAAATTTTTTCAAACTCCAAGGGGCATAACTCTGTCAAAAATGGTGCAATCGTACCCAAAACAGAACTTGGCCTAGATATTAGTGTGATATATCTGTATACCAAATTTGATTTCAGTATGTGCAACGGTTGCAAAGAAAATGAGCGGAAACTGCAAATAATTGAAATTTTTCCAAGTCCAAGGGGCATAACTCTCTCAAAAATGGTGCAATCGTACCCAAAACAGAACTTGGCCTAGATATTCACGTGATTTATCTGTATACCAAATTTTAATTCAGTATGTGCAACGGTTGCAAAGAAAATGAGCGGAAACTGCAAATAATTGAAATTTTTCCAAGTCCAAGGGGCATAACTCTCTCAAAAATGGTGCGATCGTACCCAAAACAGAACTTGGCCTAGATATTCATGTGATATATCTGTATACCAAATTTCATTTCAGTATGGGCAAGGGTTATGAAGAAAATGAACGGAAACTGAATGGACCGACAGACCGACGGACCGACGGACCGACAGACCGACGGACCGACAGACAGCAGCAAAGCAATATGCCCTCCCTTCTTCGAAGGGGGGCATAAAAATGTAATGGTAATGATAAAACTAAAGCTATTCTCCTTTCTCTCTCTTTCTACATCTGTGCAAGCATAAGCAACATCCATTAATACACAACTTTCTCCCTTTATCTGAACAAGCACATGGTGACTTCCCTTACATAAACACAGGCTCCTACTAAAAATGACTCAGACATTCAAACATGTGACTACATCAAGTCTTTGCCATTCAACAATAAATCATAATATAAATAATTGTAATTTCATAACTTAAAATACTTCATTACCACATAAAGTTCATACAGGTTGAACGAGTCTTCCATTGACACCTCTACATGTAATCTCCTACAATTCCTACACGTCCCTTGGCGGGGGGCATACGTGGTCCCTTCAGTACTTGTTGTTGGATCCGTACTGACTGGCCATGCCCTTGACGGCGCCCTGGGCCGCATTGGCAGCTACCCCCTGAACAGTCTCATTCTTCATCACACCAGTGGAGAATTCCTGCTTAGCTTTGTCAAAACTGGCCCCCGTGCTCCTATAGATTTTGTGCACCTGAAAAAATAAGGTACCTCTGTACTTAGATATCAAAGGGAAAATTCCAATATCATAGAAATGTAAAAAAAAATATAACTTGGTTGATAAAATATAAAAAGAGCCAATTTCAATAAAGCAAAAAAATATTTTGCATGCAAATGGAGAAATATCTTAATAGGCATATTTGAAAATCAAGGGTTAGTTTAGTATGGAATACGTACGAGTCCAAAAAGTTTAATTAAATAATGGTCAAGAATCTGTCTTTAATACAATTACATTTCAGATTGTTATTTGAAGACTAAAATCTATGGACCTAATTCTTCTATCTACAACAGAACTATCCTCTGTGTGAATTCTCTAATGCTTATAATCTAAATTACAATTACACATGTAGTATAGTTTCTTACCATTTCATGTATTAACTTTAAATTACAAGTAGCACAACCATAAATTTGTTCTCTAAGATACAAACCTTAAGTAACATGACTATCATACCCACAGCACAGACTGAAAAGAACAGGGAGATGAAGAGCATGAAAGCCCCAGCTCCAGTGCTCTTCCCAATAGTCGACAGAGAATTAATCCATCCCCTACAAAGTAGGCATTCAAGACATATTTGTACAATCACTAAACTAGGCAACACATCACTTCAAATGATTCCAACTGATGCCAACAATCTTGACCTTTTTGAGATTTTCTTTTTTTTTTTTTTTTTAAATCTGATTGGCTGAGTGTTAATTGTCAGATCAGATGGCCTCATTTGACCGATTTGCTGGCAGCCTGATTACATCCAATGGCAACATTCAATGGCAGCTGAACAAAAACACAGGACAAAGGTTAAACCCATTCCTGTCCACCTTCAACCCATAACTTAATAATAATGATATATGTAGAGACATGCAGGGATAATAACTACCGGGTACTAGGAAAATAATGAATGCATCTACTTTCTTGGTTTTTTAAAAAATTTAAATAAGTAATGATATACTGTTTAACAGGGTCAACTCAAATAAATGTGGGTTATCATATGCTAATACACAAATTTTGTTTTTGATTGATTTAAACCAGAATTAACATCTTTTCACCTTTAAAGCCGTTTCTTTTTAATCCAGTGCATACAAATATAAATACTGGTATATATTCATATGCTAATACATGTGCTAAAACAAAACTACACAAACCTGTTGAAATAGTTACAGTAGTTTCTGCTTTTTATAAATTTACATGCTAACCTTAATATAGTACATTATAATGCTGCCAGTTATAAACTGGGCCACAGAAGAAGCTAATAGAAATTTTAGAAATAAAATAGCTAGGATTTCTTATTATCAAGAAATTCAAGGCTGAATATGTATGATATGCACCCATGAACATTCATTTGAGAATATTAACACATAACGATTCTTTAATACAAGCAGTTTTACATCAAGAGTGCAGTAGAGGGTTATATTTCTTTGCAAATTATTTATTTCTTGCAATAAGGCAAACCTCCACAAGTAGCCCTCTCAAGCAAAATAATAGGAACATGCAGAAATAAAGAGAAAACATATGATGTGGGATGCTATACCTTGACCAGCATGATAAAATCTAACAAGGCTAGAATGCCAAACATCAGACCAATAAATATCATGACCAGCGCCACCCCTATGTGGCTGACCCCCTTCCCATCGTTTTTGTAGCCGGTCATGGTCAGGCCATTGATGATGCCACTGAAATTGAAATCAGGTGTCAGCGAAGCAAAAATGGACATTATTAATATACTGTAAACCAATCATTATTCATGACATCTTTTATTCTCAATTCTTCAATCTGGACTCCATCTGCAAATACTATTTTTTTTTTTTGGCAAATGGGGCGACATTCTACATAAATACATACATGTAAGTGAATAATTGGTTTATGACAAGGAATATTTGCAAGTAAAAAAATAATTCTTGCTTGTGAATAAAAGTTGGTTTACAGTAATATGATAATCATAAAATAAAAATTCATTTAAAAAATGCATTGATGTTTTAATAAGGGGAAAAAATACTGACTCTCACTCAATATTCACATTTAGAAGAATGAACATTTTTTTTTTTTACTCATAACAGTTTCCAAATTACAAACCTATGTGCAACAAATGACAATGCTCACCGAAGTCTCTTCGACCCTGGTGTTGTTCACATTTAGTTTTATATTGTATTTCTTTTATCATTTCATAAAAGTTAGGACTCCTTATTGAGAGCAATCAACAACCAGTTTTTTTTTTTTATTCGGGAGTTTGAATTCCTATTGTGGAATAATACAAACCCTCAGAGTTGCATTGCTCTTTTTTCAAATTAAATTACAATCCTGAATGTGTTTAACACTATGCTAGTCTCATACTTACACTGTGTAGCCCGTTACTCCTAGACACTGAATTATCGTACAGATAAATTGGAAAAAAAATATAAAGAAAAACACAAAGAAGTTGAAGGAGCTGTCACTTCTGAAAATAAAAACAAAGGACAAAGGGTTACTGTGGTGGTCAGTATTTTCCCTAGATCCTGCACCATGGGGGGGGGGGGGGTGGTTCTAGATGGGGTGCAGGATCTAGAGCTTTCAGATGAATTGGAATACTTACACTGTGAAATCTGTTATCCCTATTAACATGACTACACAACAAATGGCTTGGAAGAAGAAATTGAAGAAAAATACAAAAAAGCTGAATGAACTGTCTGATCTGGAAAACAGAATGAAAGCCTTAGCAAAATTCCAAAGAGAACGTTTTTCAATAATTAAAAAATAATTATCAAAAATAATTTTGTATATCAAAATATTCAAGTTTTTATTTAAAAGTATGCTTTCCTAGCATCCAAACTAAAAAAAAATCCAAGTTGGAAAAGTGAACGTCTTAAAAATTCAAAAACATACCAAGTTACAACTGATAGAAAGAATTAATGCTTTGATTTCATATTGTGCAGCTACATGTATTTCGATGAATTGTGACAAAAATTGATAATTGTGGTGGAAGGATTTGGGAAAGTATGCAGATTTCAGCAGTGCAAGATATATTGTATATAGAAACATTTAAAGCCATCAACACTGAAACATTTTTGGAGTGTTGCATTGTATAAGTTATATCACTGAACCCATACTAGAAGACAAATCAATTTCAAAAATACATATAAAATGATAAATGCCTTTACCAAAATGTGGTACATGTATATGTGGTACAATATGTGGTCTATGCTAGGGATGGATATCACTCAGATTTTATACTTCCCCCCCCCCCCCACCATTTTTTTTTCATTAATATCATGACATTTTTACAAGAAAATTTTATTATGTTTTTTTACTAACTCCATAACTTTTTTACTTCATATCTACACTTCATAATTTTTCATTCAAATACAGGTATAATGCTATGAAAACAGATTTTTTGTTTTCTTGTTTCATTCTACATGATATTTGCACAATTTATTATTTTTTTTTTTTGATGAAATGGAACAAAAATAACAGGTTTTAGTGTCAGTGAACATAGTTAACCCCAATATTGAGCTCACAAAGTTATTGTGTATCAACTTTATTCCCCTGCCAGATATTGATCACTTAATACACGTACAATCTACCTTTGAAGTTCATGCTAAGCATGTCTATCACCCCAATTCCCCAAAAATCAATTCTGATATTGTAAATTTTATGTTGTAAAACAATTTGTAACAGAAAAAGTTTTATAGAAGTCCTTTTTGAAATATGGAATGTGCATTTCTGTTGTTGTTTTTTTTTTTGGAAAATATATGAATGTGTGAATAATCTTGGAAAAGTAAACAATTCTTACCTGAATGCTTTGTACAGTGGTCTATACCAACATATAAATGAACAAGGTGTGAACAGGACGAACCACACTATTGACATGCCAAATGTGGCTCCTCCATCAGGATCAGCAATGAAAAACGCCAAACTGGCCCAGATGTTGAGAAAGAGAACAATTACGTAAACTGAAACATAATAAAAAATATGTTACCTTTCACAGACAAAAAACAATGAATGTACATATACCTTAGCAGGTAGAATTAATAATTTCTTTCATACTAACAGCTTTTATCACAATATTCCAAAAATAAACACACTGAAATCAACTTACATAACCATAAATAATATACAATTTTAACTGTCCTTTGGAATTCCATAGGAATATCTACATTGAAGTCTTGGTAGAAACAGGGTCCAACAGGACAAAACTTGGGAAGTGGTGGCCAGTTGTTTGCTCGCTCTAGAATGTCAAAACAAGAAATGATTGACAAACACATATGCCCCCATGAAGCAATTTTATATAGGAAACACTTTCAATTTCAAATGTCTGTTATGATATTGAAAATAGCTGTTCATCTTCTAGTTATGGGCAAATATAATACTAAATTTGATCTCTTTCAAAACTCAATATCATTAGGGATAATATACTGCTAAATCTTATAGAACACCAGTATACAAAAAGTGATGTTTTAAAAGAAACTAAATCTCAAGAAACTGAGCTGACAAAGTCTCTGTGTCTAATAATCATGTTGTTTACCTTTGATCTTTGAGTTTGTAAACTAAAATTTAACATGGGTTATTTTTTCCCAAGGGAGAAACCGGCGCACCATGTTTATGGTCAATCAAACAAACAATTCTAAAGATAAGGTCAATATCTTCCTTATATAATTTGACCTTGACCTTTGTTCTTGTGACCTTAAATTCAGTAGGGATTAATTCCTTAAAAAGGAACTAATGTGCCAAGTTTAATGACTGCCAAACAAGGTATCCTCAAAATATTGAACAGACATCTTCCTATAGGTTTTTTTGAATAATATGACCTTTGACCTTGTGACCTAAAAATCTACAGGGAGAACTACTTCTTAGGGGAAACATGTCCAAATTTTGATGTTTAACAAGCATAGTTCTCAAGATACAACTCTCCTTTAAAATAAAAATGTTCTTCTTTAGATGTTTTATTTACTGGAATAGCCCTATGTAATTTGCTGGGTTCTACTGAAAAGTCACTGGCATATGGTATTGGGCCAAACATGATTTCAAACAGTTAATACTTGCCATTGTACTGCATATTTCTCATTTCTTGTTCTTTCCTTTGCAGCTCTGCAGCTTTTTTCTCTAATTCCTACAAAACATTCCAAATGTATTACAAAATGGCAAGGTGTATGTCTCAGAGCTCCAAATATATACTCAGTAACACCTTACCAACTCAAAATTTAATTTATTCCAGGGAGATAAACTCTTAAAGGATCTCATTGCATATATGGTGAGTATACATGTATTTTTACTCAATTTTTTCAAAAACCAAGTCATGGTTTAATTCTACTATTAAATGACACTTTAAGTGAATTTTACTGTTTTCTTCCAATAACACCTTTTTTTGATCAAATTGTATCAATTTATGTTACGTTATATTCAATGCACATGTATGTCAAAATTAGATAGGAATGGAATTCAGTATACTGCAAATTATATATTGGATATACTGCATCATCGATATACTGGTTTATTGTAACTACATAATTGTCAGGATGCAATCTTCAACTCGAAAATAACTGAATCAATGTAAAGGCGTAATTTTTTAAAGCAAAATAATCAAATCAAAAAAGAAAATATCAGTGAATGTTAGACTTTTCAACAAACTTGAATCTATACCTGAGGACCTCCATATAAATACGGTACACATTATGGCTTTGCTGTTCTTGAGAAGATTTTTAAAGAATTTTCTATATATGACAAATTGTTTCTTTTCCTTATTATAACCTAAAACCACTACCTTTTTAGAAAAGGTTAGTACAATTAAGAAAATCCTTTTTTTTTTATAAAGACCACGAAGTTTACTCCGTTTTCAAGTACCCTATAATTGAAAGTAGATTTGTAAATAGACATAGTTGAGCTTGATAAAATCAACAAATGCATCACTGCTTAACATTATTATCTTTCTATAACATTAAATAAGTTTTAAAAGCCATAAACATCGTTCATTTATTTACACACATTTGTTTACAGAAACAACCTGTCCCACCTCCATGCTGAAATAGATACTTTTTGCACCTCTGTCGTAGTAGAGTTACAATCTCGAAACCTGCGTATTCTACTATTAAATGACTATTCAGTGAATTTTACTGTTTCCTTCCAATAAAACCTTTTTTGGACCAAACTGTTTCAATGTTATGATATGTTAAAGTCTCAAAGTGAAGGAAAAGATAGAATTTTATTCAATGCAAATGTATGTCAAAATTAGTGGGTAAATGGAATTCAGTAGACTGCAAATTATACTTTCTTGAGATAAAGATATGAAATGACTGAATTTTTATTAACCAAGTGCATAGAAAAAAGGGCCTCAACATGTCAATTTAAACATAATGTTAGAGGGCCAACAAATTTAAAATGTAAGTTGTGATTCTGTTTCAAAAATATAGATTATGAATTGTATTCTAAGAAAACTCCTCTCAAAAATATCTGAGCGTGGCTTTTATGTTGAATATTGTAAAACCTGCTTAAATTTTGTGTGTGTATGGCCACTTTTACCTTATTGCTTTGATTCATTTTTTTTTTAGGGGGGGGGGGTTCAATCATATTCCATTACCTCTTGTCTTTTCTGTAAATCTGCTGTGTCAACACTCTGGGCTGAAACCTCTGAGTATGGAGGAGGTTCATTTGAAGTGTTTAAAGCATATCCCATTACCTCTTGTCTTTTCTGTAGGTCTGCTGTGTCAACTCTCTGGGCTGAGCTCTCTGTGTAAGGAGGAGGTTCATTTGAAGGCTGCATTATTGCTGGTTGGGTCTGAGCTGGTTGTGGGGGTGGTATTGTTGCCTGGGAAAATATTAAAATCTTCTGATGAGTTAACTAATAAAGCAGCTAGTTTGACTTTTCATTCAAAAACTGTTGAAATACTTTATTAACTGTGCAAGTGCTATTTTGTGCATCAGATATAATTTATGTGTTTGTGTGTATGGGTATGGTTCTTTGCAAGAGTCTGTAATAGATTTTAAAAGCAAAAACACATTTCTGCTTCAGACTATACAAAAGTGGAGTTTGGGTTAACTGGTTTTCCTGACTTCCTGATTAATACAGTATTGACTGAAACAATGTCAATGTTGAGTCAATAAATGTTTTGAAAAAACAATTTTCCTCCTTAAGCTTCTTTAAAACTTAATTGGGAATGAGATTGACAAGGTAAAAATTAAGAAAAACTGCATGGAATAAGTCAGAAAATAAGTAAGGAAAAACCATGGTTGTGTTTGAATTGTATACCGAAGAGTAAGAATTATATGATCCTTTTATTAGTGGTTCATCACTCATTGACTGTAAGGAGAAACAAGAAATAATCTTTCACTTTAAAGACATTTAGTGATGTGTACATAATTGCATTAATTTATAGACATGTCCACTACAGAATCCAAATCAAACAATACACACCCCTGCTGTGGGTCTTGTCTGGTTTCCCTCGGCAAATGGATTGTAGTCATCAACAGCCCCGGCTCCTGTCTGCTGACCGCCTCTTGCTTGCTGGACAGAGGGATCCTTTTGAATTCAAAAATTACATTAAACCGCTGCGATGAACAGTTCACATAAACAGCTTGAATTGAATACAATAGTTAAAGAGATTAAGGATGCTTTTACCTAGCAGGAAATCTGTTAATATTATCATAAATAGGCCTAAATAAAAATTAAAATCTACAAGCACGCCCACTGATTATTGTTAATTGATTCAGGAACCCAGACATTGTTTTGTTTCTTTATTGCAGTTACCAATAAATATATCCAATAGATATAGAAGTCGATAATCACACTATTGTAAGTATACTTAAGTTTATCCAGAAAGAGTTTTAAAATCTATGATTTTGTTTATTACGTGTTCAAGCATAATCAATATGTCATTTGAATAAATTACCGCAAAAGGATTTGCTGCCTCTGGATCAGCAAAGGGGTTGCTATCTATTTCCGACATGGTTCACAAATTAATGAAAACAAAGACGTTTTATCCTTAGTGTTTAGACATGCGTTGTAATTTTTGTTTTGGGGGATGACTTGGTCTTCGAGATATGGCAGAATCCCGGCTTCCGCATAAATGAAGCATGCGCAATAAGAAAAGTCACATGAAATTACATCATTTGAATACATTCGTGAATCTCTAGAGTTGTCATTGTACTGGAAAGAAAACGTTAGAGAAATACCTGGTGCGTTTGATTACTCATCAAAGAAATATGATTATGACACTATGTCACTCTTTTTTTATGTGAATTAAAAATAGCTAAACACCATTATCATGATTAAGTTTTTAGTTATCCAGAAACGTATGGATTCTCCATGTCATGCCACACTCAACAGTCTGATCAGTCAAAACTAAAAGCTCCCATGCATACATGTCGATATTTAGTGAACATCAGTGGAGAAAGAGTGGGTTATATATATTTTTGTAAATAACTAAATATATATTTCTTCCCCATGTTCCTGGCTTTTCAAACTTCACGTGTTCTAATTATTCAAAAAAGTTTCAAAGGAAACTCACATCTTGAAAACTGAAAAATACTTTTCCAAACAACAACATGATATATAAGACAGAAAAGAACTTCTTTGTTAAATGTCCAGAGAAGAATATTATTACAACTCTAGCGTTATTCTTTGTTTTCCTTTAACTTGAAAAATGAGCTTTTGATGTTGTTTCAAATAGATTCCCTTTCCCCAAATGGGGTGTGTGTGTGTGTGTGGGGGGGGGGGTGTAGCAACCAACGCAAAGCAGGACAGGTAAATTTTTCTTCATACGGCATTTCATCCCACATACTTGTAGTTTGGCAACCATGATTCAGTGAACTGATCATGGGGATTCAGAGGGGACGGAGTCCCTATGATGTCCAAACTATACATAATTATTTGGATGTGACTTTGGGACCCTACCCCCACCCAAAACTGGTCGGGTCCCCCCTTTTCAACAGTTCAGGATTCCTGGATCCGCCTCTGGTTAGGAATTACAGATGATCTAGTACTAGAGATATTTTCAATTTGTAAACGTTGTGGTACTAGAAATATTTTCAATTTGTAAACGCAGTGAACTGATCATGGTTGCCAAACTACAAGTATGTGGGATGAAATGCCGTATGAAGAAAAATTTACCTGTTAATAATAATAATAAATAATCGCTCCACAAAAAAAAAAAAAAAAAAATACCATACATTATAAGAGATAATGTATAGGGGGATATTTTTTTGTGGAGCGATTATTTTGGGGTTTTGACGATTTGTTCCTTTTGCAAACATGTTGAATAAGTGTACTAAATATCAGTTGTGAAAAAATTGTCAAATAAGCCCCGGGGTTGAATATCAGGGGGGGGGGTCCTGTCCACAAGTACCTGTGAAATGTTGGTATCCTAAGGAACGTTCGTGTCACTAGTAAATGTGAAAGCCCTAGTACTAACTTTCAAAAGTTATGTCTAAGTTTAATTTTTTTTAAGTGGGTCAAACTCCAAGGTCAGGGTGATCTGCTCAAAAATGAATTTAACCATGCATTGAAAGGTCTTGACACAATGAATATGAAGCTCTATCCCCAACGCACTGTTCATGCAAAAGCATAGCATTCTTCCGGATTGTTAAATGTAAAATGAATTAAATAAAAAAATTAATCTTCTATAAATACTCTTTTAAAGTTGTTCATATAAAGATTCTGACACTCAAGTTCAGGCAAGAAAAAAAAAGTAGAGTAAGAGTTTATGTGTATAGGTATGGTACGTCTTTTTTAAACGTGGTTTTCTTGCCTGCAAGTTTCACAATCTTTACATTAACATTTTTACACTTTTAAGTGTATTTATTTAAAAAAGCAGATTCAAAGTTTTATTAGTTTATTAAATTACTTATCAATCCGGAAGAAAAGCCCCTATATTCCCATGGCCATGGATTAAGCATGTTTAAAAGTCTGGTAATTTTTTGCAAAAGTGGATCAAACTACAACGTTAGACAGACGAAATGACAGGGCAAAGAAATATATCCCCGAATCTTCAATTACCGTAATACGGGGGATAAAAATTGCTATAAAAAGACCCTCGAACTGGCCAATCGTCGTCATCAAATCAAGCGCACCTCTTAACCGGAAGTTGTAGCAGAAGCCATTGAAAAAACTGGGAACACCTGCCACGGCTGCGGCTTTCTGAAAGATGACGTCCAACAGCTTTCAGTTGGGTGGTACTGGGTTTGGTAATGACAAACCCCCATCTACTGGCAGCGGAGAGGGAGATTTTTCTAATGATCCTGCAAGCAACAGCTTTTTCAATGAGAATTTTAAACGGTACAGAAATTGCAGAAACATGACCTGTCACTGTCAGCCTCACATGACAGTCACTTTAATTGGTCTTCTGGCATTTCTAACAGTTGTTCCTAGTATTAGACGTCAAACTCAAGAGAATCAGAGTATTTAGTTATAAATATCTCATTTATGGTGTCGAAAACCAAGGATAAAATATGTTGATTAATCATTTATGGATTGGTTTGACTAATGAGACAAATGCAGCATTAGATACAAACAGTGTTACTAAAAGTATTGTTCAAAGCCAATTCAGCAAATATTTCCAAAATGGTTTCTTGGTACCACTTGAAATCATTTATCCAATGTTTTGAGTTTGCACAGTTATCCCTTATCTTGGTGAGCTTTTTCGAGACTAATTTTTTTGTGTTGACGATTTCTTCTGAAACTCAGACCAATGCCACACAAAGTGATTGGAGGCCTTGAACCAGTTGTTACGATCAACTGAATTCTCTGCCGGATTCACTTTTTCCCATTATATAAACATCATTTTTACCCACTGAAAAGTTTGAAATCCAACTAAAATATCAAGTCATAAAATTTTAGAAATTCATAAATATGTGTGTGTGAACCTCTGATGCCAAAGAGGACCAGTCACTCAAGGTCATAAATTGTCTGCTTCAAATAATTTGTTCTATGATGTGGTATAGAAATGAACCAATTTTTGGTACAATATAATGGACATCAAATATTACAAGAGTAGTACTGAAGGATATGGGAAGAAAATGTTGACTCCTACATTCAACTCCATGCAGTAAACTATGTTAATGAAGTGTATATAATAAGGGGTTTTTTTTTTCAGGCATGAAGATCTTAAAGCAATGTTAGATGGAAATAAGGACAACTTAAAGTTAGATGCCATGAAAAGAATCATTGGGGTATTGTTTACATCATTATGTTTACATCTTTTGTAAGACTAATTTGATATTTTTGGTCATTTGACATGTGTCAGAAGACAGAAATGTTTATATTACCAAAAAGTCAAATGCATGCAGTGGGAATTGTCGCAATCATAGGTGTTATTCCTAAAAGTAATTTCTATTATTGGTTTCATTTTCCAAATAGTATGACTTCTTAAATGTAATACTTTGACAGATGGTAGCAAAAGGAAAAGATGCATCAGATTTGTTCCCTGCAGTAGTGAAAAATGTAGTCTCAAAAAACTTGGAGGTAAGGAAATATGATAATTTTTTATGAAAATAGGATTTTAGTTTCAAGAAATTTCAGCCATATTTTCAGTTCACCTTAGACAAAGGTTCTGTTGAGATTTTCTTTAAATTTTTATGAATGCATGTACAAATTTCCCTAATATCAAGAAAACTTAAATTTCTAAACGTGCAATCAGTCGATATTCTGTAGATATAGCAAACATGCATTAGTTTTGGGCTACAGTAAGGACATTCATTCACAAAATCATTTATTAGGAAGGAAAACATAGTTTAGATGAGAGTTGATTGTGACCCATGGTCCTCTTTTCTTATTGCAGGTCAAGAAACTTGTTTATGTCTACCTGACAAGATACGCCGAGGAGCAGCAAGACTTGGCCCTCCTGTCCATCAGCACATTCCAGCGAGCCTTAAAAGACCCTAATCAGCTGATTAGGGCCAGCGCTTTGAGGGTCCTTTCCAGCATTCGTGTCCTCATGATCTCCCCGATTATGATGCTGGCTATCAAGGAAGCTGTAATGGACATGTCGCCATATGTCAGAAAGACAGCAGCCCATGCAATACCAAAGCTTTACAGGTACTGGATAGCATTACTAGCTTAGTTTTCTCTATGAATAATTTTTTGTTGTTGTAAATTAAGAGTGAGGTTTAAGAAAGTCTGTCAGTAGAATTTTTTAAAAGGTTCATTTTGAGCTCAGGAAGCATTCTTTTTATTAAGTATTTTATTAGACAATTGTTAGCTGCACTGAATATTGCAAATCAGTCACACTTACATGTACATGTGTTTTAAGCTGTAATTTCTATTTAGCCTTGACCCTGAGAGTAAGGAACAACTTGTGGAGGTCATTGAGAAATTACTGGCAGACAAAACAACAGTAAGTATTACATGTATATCTGCATGTATAGAAATGTCATTATGTTTCAAATTTACAATTTTTTAATCTAAAAGTCTTGCGTATACATGTAACTATATATAGACATTTTATTGAGTTAATTTAGCTGAGCTCTTTCTTTTTATAGCTTGTTGCTGGGAGTGCCATTCAGGCCTTTGAGGAGGTGTGTCCAGAGAGGATTGACCTGATTCACAAAAACTTTCGAAAGCTGTGCAACCTGTTGGTGGATGTTGAGGAGTGGGGTCAGGTGGTCATTGTTGGTATGATGACCCGCTACGCAAGGACCCAGTTTGTCTCGCCCAATCAGGATGTATGTATTTCATCCAGTCTAGGTATAAGTGGGGCGTTAATATGAGAAATTGTTAAGACTTCTTACAAGTGTGGGGAAAGTGTTAAGAAATTTCCCAAGTGTTGGGAAAGTTAAATTCTACACAAATGTGGAGAAACTGCATTTACATTGTGTAGAATTATGTATACTTGAATAATATCTCTGTGAATTTGTAAATGCCCAATTTTTCTGTCAAATGATTTCTGTGCATTGCCTTTACTTCAACAATTAAAGTACACCTTTCTCATTTTCAGGGGACTGGAGAAGAAAGTAAGAATTTTTATGAATCGGAGGAGGATGAGGATGAGAAAAAGGATGAAGAGGACAATGAAAAAGATCCCAAGAAAAAGCCCTACATGATGGACCCCGATCATCGCCTCCTCCTCAGACAGGCCAAGCCATTACT